GATACAGGACTAGAAATATCTCATGTTGAGATTCTTGCATCCCCAGAGCTGCTTGAGAGATAAACTGAACCTGATGTGATTGGAAAAGCAGCGGAAATCGTTTCTCAGAAGTGCAGCTGTTAACAAGCCTTGAACAAAACTGCTCAGCAAGACACGCGAAAGGACATTAGACACACTAGGGGGAAAAAAAACCAGAGAGTCAGGGAGTGTGAAGGTGGGACGTAAAAATGCAAGGGTTATGGAAGAAAGGAGGAGAATGGAAGAAAGAAGACAGATAAAGGGACACCGGTAAAGAACACAAAAACCACCTCCTAGGTACGTCCCAAGTTCACTTTGCGGGTTGTTGTTTGTGTCCAGGCTGTGGTAGAGGGCATATGAAACAGGGTTCCCATTGTTTAAGGAATCAGGAGTGTCAGCCCGGCCCACGAAGCTATCCCGGCTAGATCCCATGCTGGGGAAGTAGCTAAGCCTCTCCACAATGTCAAAGGAGGACAGGCGCCTGGGAGCAAGAGGCCCGCTTCTGGAGCAAGCTTGGTGCTGGGAGTGCTGGCTCTTGTTTCCTACACTCCCCTGCAGCTGCATGGGGTCGTCTGGGTTCTCAGGGCTGGGCACTGCCAGGCTTGCCAGGCAGTCTGGGGGCGGAGTTCTGCAGGCTTTGTGTTGGAAAGGCTTTTTCAATCGGAATGGGAGTGGGCTCATTAGGTACACATTTCTGGGGAGCATGTGCCTGTCCCCATAGACATCCCCTTTGGAATCAGGGTTCCTAGAGGACTGCTGCTGTTCATGCCTTCGGATGGTAGTGAACCTGGTGTAGGAAGCCGGGCATGCGCCTTTGCATCTGTTGGTTTTATGCTTCTGAGGCCCATTCAGGTTGCTGCTGCTGCTGCCACTGTCATTGGAGGCATTTGAGAGAAGATCTATCTCATCAGTGCAAGCTGAAAGTGTGTCCATAGGGATGACATCACTGACATCCGAAGCCGTGTCCTCCACGTTGCTGCAGGAGCGGGAGGATTTATCTGCAAAGCTGGCAACATCCTTCTCTTCTTGATGTGCTTTTGACAAATCCAGAAGAATCTCTGCAGAGTATGCAGCGCTCAGACAAGTTTTAGACTGAAGAGAAGTGGTGGGTTTGGTTTGCCCAATGGAAAAGTCAAGCGAGGGCATTGATCGGGATCTCTGGATCAGCTGCTCAAAGGCACTGATACGGGAGGAAACGGTGTCTTTGGGGATCTGCTCTGAATCCTCTCGACTAAGGCTGTGCTCTACCCTGTCCTTGGCTTCACTCTCAAACTGAGATGCAATATCCTTCACGCTGCAGGAGACTGTGTCCAAATGGATCCTGGACCTGTTGATCTGGTGCATGTCTTTATAGAGTGTTGTAAATTCCATCCCACTCTTTTTGGAGGCAGCAAACAGGTAGCCTTTCCTAGAGTTGGTGCCATACTCCTGCAGGCTCATGGTACTGCCAGACTTGATGGCATACTCTTGCTTAGACTTCATCAAGATATTTTCTATGCTTTCCCCTATGTCTACCATGAAAGCCTTTTTATTATCAAACAAGGCAGTGGAGCTACGAAGGTTTTCGCAGCTTTGAGCTTTCTCATGAGACAGCAAGATACCCGTCTTGTCCTGCACAAGAACAGCTGGAGCTGCTAGTTTGGGTTTGAATTTGGAAGGGAGGATTTCAGTAATGCAGGCTTTGGCAGCTGATAAGGGCTTCTTATGTTTACATGCGTGACCTAACATACCGGTATGACTAGCGTTAAAGGTTCGGCTATTAACTGAAGAGGGTGCGGTCATATGAGCATTCCCACCTTTACGATCCACTGGTAAGCATGCAGAATAAAATAAATACAACCTGTTAGCTTAAGTGCTAGAAAGCTTTTGAGAAAGGAGAAAGAACATGCTTGGATTTCATAAAATGCACCTTAAAGAAACAAAATTCCAAAACATAAAGAAAAGCAGGAAGAAACTGCAAAACAAGCCACGCTTACAGGATTAGGTGAGTGCTGCTAACATTTCTAAAATGAGAGGCTTGGCCAGAAGCAAATCTGGAGCACTTTTAAGGTACCCTCCTAAAAAGTGCTAAGCATCATGAACTTCCAGGGAAGCTGTGGCACCATGGAAAAGGGCAGCTGAACTCTGGGCAGGATCAGGGTGTCAGCAAGAATGCAGAGACACTAACATTGCACAAATGGCTTAATACCAAGCCTGTAATCACACCTACTATGGTCTCACCACAGTGCTTGCCAAACAGTTTATTCCTGGGAGGGAGAAAACAGTCGGAGGCTGATTGTGCTAGCACAAGCGCACCACATCAGCTGACCTTGCCCAAGAGATGCCTGCTTAGACATTCCCCATACTAGGAATAAGCTGAATGTCCTTCAGACAATGTGGTTGGCAACGGTTGCTTTAAAATTCAAGGAGTCAGATCAGGACATTCTTTTTTTTTTTTTAATAGGATTCAGTCTGGTTTCAGCTTAGACTGCAGTTTTTAGGTCTGTTTCCGATTTGAGTTCAAATTCAAATGTCAAAATAGCCATTCAGATTCAATTGCAGTTTGGGGAACTGTTTGAACAGATTTTTTTGTTTAGATCCAGTTTGATTCCCTGCCCTACAGGCCTGACAAAATGCTGAAAACCAGCTGGAAGATGGAGACAGAGAGACCTTTTTGGTATGATGTACTATTTTTAGGGAGAGCAGTTCAGAAACCCAGCACATTCCTTCTCCAGTCCTCTCCCCATCTCAAGCCATTTTTAGGTTGAAGCTGGCTCAGAGATACATTCCCCAGTACAATTCCCTGATGGGAGTCATGCTCTTCCTTGTCTCTTTTTGAGAGTCTGCAACAGGGAGGGAAGAGGAGGAGATTGGTCTCTTCTGGCTCACATTCCTGGAGCCTGCAGGGCTGGTTCAGCCAGCAATTGCTGGTTCAGTGTCAGCAGGTTCAGTGTCAGTGCATTCTCTGCACACCTCTGGCAGGCAGGAGGCTGTGGAGCATAGGGCACCAGCTACACCAGGGTAGCCAGGCCAGCAGACTGACATGGCCTGCTGAGATACTGCTGTGGGAAGAACAGAAAAGGCAAAGAAGGGCTCTAGAATGGTAAGGAAGTAGGAGCAGATGGATAGCAAGGCCAGCCTAAGCAGCCTTGAGGAAGAACGTGAGGGTGTGGGCTGTGGCTGAGGTGCTGAATGGAGGGAGCTGGTCTCTCTAGAGAACAGGAACCTGGATCAGTTAAAGGCATCATTAAAAATATTGGCCATTTTGGTCTGAGAGAAAAAAAGGAGGGAACACTGGGGATGGCAAAGAGGAAGGACAGCATAATTCTCAACTGGCTTGAATAGTACTCTAAATCTTGCAACAGTTTGCCCATATCACCTGGCTTTGGACACTGTGCAGAACAGAGGAGAGGTTAGTGTTCTAACCACCCACCTTTTGTGGAAGCAGAGCTTGAAGGTCGCTTGAGACCACTCAGCCCCTGGAATGGGATATCTCCACCTTCCAGCACACTCTTGTAAATCTGCCTTTCATTCTCCAAGGCAGCAGGGTCCCCCAGAGCTAGCTCTGACTCCCTCTTCACTGCATGGTAGTTGGGTGAATAAGTGGAGCTGGAATACACAAAAATAAAAAGGAGAGGGACACCAGGAGGTCACACCTGTTTGCTGAGAGCTTTCATGTAAAGTAAGAGAAAACCACACTTGTGAATGCAGAATAGACTGTGTATGAAGAACTGGTGCTGATGAAGAGGTTATGAATACATGGCAATAGTGTTCTGCATTTGGCACTACTGAAGCATCCTCTTCCACTTGAGGGAACTCTCCAGTCTTAGTCCCCCAGGAAACAGGCAGCAGGAAAGCACTCCTCTATTTTACAAATGAGACAAAGTCCCAGAAATGATGTACAATTTCTTTGCAGACACAATGAAATTCACTGGCTAGCTGGAAGTACACCAAACCTTCCAGCTTCCAGGTCTCTCTCCTTAAACACCAGCCATGCCTGTCCCATGCTTACAAAGCACAGCTGCTCAGGAAGTCATCTCACCCAGTTCTGCCTCCCAGTCAACACTACAGCTCAAGATTCCCCAAGCAGTTTCTGAAGCCCATTGGTGAGGGACTGTAGAGAAGCAATAGTAAAGGGCTGTAGATTCTATACTGTTTTAATTGGCAGAGAAATTTCCAAATGCACACAGTTCTGTTCAGCTTTGCCAGAGGTTTCTACTATAGGCAATAAAAAATACTGGACTCTGGGTTTACCATGCATATATATAAACAGAATGCTAAAATTAGTACAATTTAAATTTCTTAGGTTTTTAAAGACTGGAAATGTATTGCAAATCCCTTTTCTAGTCATGAACCTAAGCACAAGTATGCTCAGACATCTGATTTCTAGATTTCCCTGTTTTCTCTCTAAAAGAATGACTGACAATGCCATGGTATAAATATCCTTTCCAGGTGCAAAAAAACTTACTAAGCAATCAGGCAGACCGTTTTCCTAAAAGCTAAGCTAATCTGATACCAGTTCTCGTACTCAACCAGGCTCTTCAGAATAAGTTGGAGTCTTACACAAAGCTATTCTGGGGCCAAAGCATGATGGCTGCACAATTTGGAAAAAAAAATACAGATTTTCCAATTAATAGAAATATTTGACATTCTGATTTCCAAGGGTGATTCAAATTTATGAGAATTTGGAAATGTTCTGTTTGCTGCGGATAAATTTGTACGTGTATCTGTTTATTTTGGATAGATGCTGTACTTCTGGGATAAAGAGAAAGCTTTAAACACATCAGAGGACTGGCTATGGAGGTGGAATTACACAATGTCTGGATCACAAAGATGACTTTAGTTTCTGGACAAGGAAAGCCAAGTCATATGCAGTCCCACAGATTACTTTCTGGAGGAAAAGCTCATGAAGAGCACCACAAAAGAGAAAGGGAACACTGTCAGTTTTTCAACCTAGACAATACTCAAACACATCCATAGCGACAAAGCTATTGTTTATCAGGGTTATCTCTTTGATAAAGAGTGCATCTCTTTGTCAGGTACCTGAGGAAACACAGCCAGTTGCTGCAGGGAATAATGACTGTCCTGAGATTAGTTGTTAACCTACTTGTAAAAAAACAAAGGGTTAAAACAATCCTCTTTTTGGACTAAACCTGGGGGAGATAGAGGAGGCATTTGGCAGAATCTCTTTACTAGCTGCTCCCTTATTCAGGCCAGCAAGCAGTACTGTATTAGAGCCAAAGCAGCCTGCAACATCAGGTGAATGAAGGGAGAGCAACACTGCAAAAATCCCCCCAAAACAATAAACTCCAGCTATCTTTTCTCTCTGCTCTCTAATGGCAGGGCTGAGAAAAATGTGCAACTCCACTGGGCCTCACTCTTGTGTCCCATTCCCAGCATACTCAGCTTGTTTCCTCTCCACTGGCATTCCTGAATGCTCTGTGTGGCACAGATAGTGCTGCCATGAGCAGAAACCTTACCACTTGCTTGCAAATATAAGATATTTATGCTAATCTCTGAGATTTCCATTTATTTTATTGCTGTCTTCCTACCAAAACAAAACAGTTCAGCAGTTGTGTGGGTTTGCCAGCAGAATGAACACAGACAGAAGGAAACTGTGTTGAAAGAAGTACAGGAGACCTCTAAGGCCCCCAGAGGGGCAGTGAACACACATGGTATTAATGGATATCTGGAGGAGAATCTGCCTTTTTTAACAAACCATCCTCATAGAGGGGATCACTGTGCCTATGACCATTGAGTATTTAGTACAATTACAAGGAGCAGGAGGCTCACAGTAGGGGCTGCTCTGTGGCTCAGATAACTCAGGATGGCTCAAGTAACTCAACACAGCTCAGCATCTTGCTCTGGATTTTGTGTGTGTGTGTTCCTCTTCTAAAACAAACCAACTCCATGTACAACTCATTTACACAGAATATACTGTTCATTACATATCCCACTGAAAGGGAATGCCCAATAGATCTTTGAGAAATATTGTTACTACTACCACTGTTCCCTTCCTGTAGGCTGGAAAATTACTGCCTTTCATCAACTGCATCCATCTGATCTGGTGCATGCTACATGGAATACCTAGGAGCAGCAAATCTATCACACATGTGTAACAAACAATTTTTGTGTATTCCACACAATAATGTTACTTGCATGAAGATACAGTCAATTTGCAAAATTAATCAGATGAAGTTAAAGGTCTGTTGTTTTTTTTTAAAGCCACTGCCTAGCACAATCAGCAAATCTTATTTAGACAATGTAATCACTCATGTAATCACTTCAAAACTCATTCTGGATCAAAAAGCAGACAATGTACCACGACTCACCTAAAGCACACATATAATTCTTATGGTACATGCATTTGTCTATATCCATCCCCCAAAAAGCCAAAGCATTTCCAATGCCCAATACCTTGTCCTAGTGACCTCAAATTGTAAAAGAGACATCAACAAGCAATTGAAAAACTTACTAGGAAGAATGGTCTGTGGAAGTTTCCAGAGGAGCAACACCTGCTGTATTCTGCAAAAGTCCAAACAAAGGAGTCATTGATATGCACTTAAATGTGAAGAGAAAGAAAAAGGCTTGCTTAAGTAATTTTCCATCTATTGCTTCAATATTAGCCTATAGGAAACATTGAGGTTTAAATCTAAATGCAATTTAAGCTGTCAATGCCTTTGCAGAAAAGCAACAATTTCCCTGAGTTCCTTCAGGGCAGTGACAGGTTTTTAGCACAGCCGATGCCTTTTCACAGTGCCTATTCTTTTGTCTGCAAATGAGTCATTGTGAATAAAGCCAAAAGCAAGAAGAGATAACCAGCTGGGCCATGACCAGGAGACACATGCTCATAATTATTTCCCCAAGCTTTCCCCCAACCGGTCACTGCCCGCCTTTGCTTTAAAGGTGTATTACATTTCTGCAGCACAATACATTCCTCAGCATTCAAAAAAATATCAAAGCTCTAAAAAGAAAAGCGATGTTTCAGTTCAGTTTCCTTACTTAAGAGAAGCAATGCCAGCTGCACAGGTTCAATAGCAAAAGCCAGTTCTTAGCCGCTTGCTTTAAATCCATCTAACGCTTCTTAGACATATTATTGAAAAATTGGAGGCAATTTTAGAAGCAATTCTCTATTTGGTGTCCCCTCATCTATGTGAGGATTTCTACATAGGAAGAAAAAGCAAATCTTGGGTTTGAAAAAGCAGCTTTTCCAAGTCCTCGTGAAATGCCGCAGCTTCAAAAAAAAAAAATCAGCAACAGAAAAAGAAAGAAAAAATGGCGTGCTACCAATTAATCTATCATTTCATGGTTCGAGTCCTGCAGACCCTCGAAGCAGCAGCAGCAGCTGACCTGCCCTAGAAGGCCATGGCAAGGTGCAGCATAAGGAAAATTGTGTAAAATCTCTCAGGAATATCCAAAATCTTGGGCAGGCGTGAGCTCCAAGCAGAGAGCAGGGCTTGTATGGAGGGAGAGTAGATGGCAACACGCTTGAAAGGCACGAGATGATGACGTGACACGCCAACCAAGAATTTTAAGCTGATTGCTGCTGCTGCCTATTCATGTGAAAAATAGAGAGGGGTTTTTTTGCAGACACTGAACTCTAAACCTGAAACGGGGACTGGGATGGGGGTGGGGGCAGCTGAATGTGAACGTGGTGGTGGGGTGAGAGGGGAAATCACTGTATCTGAAATGGATTTCAAGCTGGATTCTCAGCATCACATTCTATTATTTCTGACAGCGACACAGCAAGCCATGCAGTCAGAATGCTCAGAACCATTATTTATCCCAACCTCATTTAATAATCATCCAGCAGTGAATAGATTAGAGCAGAGAGTTTGGAAACGGGGATTGGCAGCATGAAAAGAATAGGAAATACCTTCTGTGGCTTTTTATGTGGTGCTTTATAAAGCTTCTCCATTTTTTCTAAATCTGCCTCTAACTCAGTCTGGTAGAGGTAGAGGTCTTTTTCTAGATCACTCTGGTTAAAGAAGGAGAAGAAGAATGGGAAAACAATGCTTAGGGTTAGGGGAAACCAAAGGAATGTTAATTTTGAAAAAAAAAAAAAAAAAGAGAGCCTTTTTAATCAAAAAAAGAGGAAGGTGGCATGGAATACACAGAAAATCACTAGCAATTAATCATGTTTCAATCATCACAGAGGAAATAGTTTTAGGCAATTAACATTAAAATCAAGAGATGCACAGGCCTGCTAGAATCTATTTCTACAAACCATAAAGTTATAAAACCACCTGTAAAGAAAAACAAAAAGATACTGTAATAATATGCAATACGCTGTTAGTATAATTATCATTGTAAGTCAAGATAGCAAAACAACCACTCTAAATTATGGCTGATTATGATTTAAGAATTGTTTATTAAATCAATTTACTAGCTACTTAATTGTTAGGCTAATGAGCTCAAGCCCAATTAAAAAAAAAAATCACTCACAAGCACACAAAACTCAAGCAATGCTACAAGAAAAAAAAGGAAAAGAAAACCACATACACACATATATACGCGCTAGATGCTGTAGTGCAACGTACGTGAGACACAATTACCTTTCTATCCTCTCTAGTAAGGATAGAGCAATCTCCAGGAGTATAATCCCAAATCTTTTTTGGAGGCTGATGGAAAGCAGAGGAAGGAAATGAGGAAATGAAGATAAGGAAAGACATCACAGAGAATATGGAAATTGGATTAGAACAGAGGGGAAATACAATAGGGAATTTGCATCAACACTGAAAAGAAATTATAAAATAACAACAAACCACAACAGAGAAAGAGAGAGAGAAAGAGGGATAAATCTGCTATAGCATAAATATCAAGAAATCATGGGAGGCAAAAGGGAACATACATGCAGTGTGGAAGGGGCTGTTTTCAGTAATGTTTTTGGAAATTTTTTTGCAAGTTGCTCTAAGGGATTTTGGACTTTCTAGAGGGTGCCCACAGCTGTTGGTTAAAGCATTCTTAACAAAAAAAACCAAAACAAAATGGGGAGAAAAACCACACAGTCATAAAAAGCATTTGTTTTGCTCATTCTCCTTTTCAAAAGGAAAGGGTAAACCAAGGGCCTTTGACAAAGAAAAGGGAAAATCTTTCTCACTTCTGTCAGCGTATGAATACATACCATGTGAACAAATGGCTGATTTTCCCGGGGTGGCATTGTGGGGCAATGAGAATGCAGAGTTGTTATTTTTTATTTCATTGGTTTGGGGGTTTGTTTGTGGGGGATTTTTGGTGGACAGAGTGGGACACAAGAAAGTTTGGGAACTAGTTATTTAAAATTCATCCTACAGCTGAAAGTGCTGATTTCAAAATGGATTTTTTTCCCTGTTTGGATGAACATGTAAGTATCATGCAGGATTATTCAGATTAGAAGAATGGACAGGACTCCAATGACTGGAGTGAGCAAAGCTACAAAAACCATGTTCTTTGGGCTGTGGCAACAAAGCTCAGAAAAGGCTTTGCCAGCTATAAATTCTGAGATAGCATCCTGAATTCAAGTGTCTGACACCCACGCACTATTTATGGAGTTGCATGTTCAGGAGCTGGCACAGCTCTTGGGGAGCATGGCTGCATGGGCTTGTAACAAAAGTAAGTTCAAGGCAAGGCTCATAAGAGAGAGCAGCACTCAATGAAAGTGCCCTGAGCAAGGTGGGGAACTTGTCACCAGAACAGATGGTCTGCTGAACATGAGACAGATTGCCCTGAGATACCCTCTTCTGGAATGAGGCCAAGGCTGCATGACTAAAAGCACAAATCCGTGCTTCTAAAGAACAGGTATATCCCCATATGTAGAAAGGACCAAGGGCATAAATGCTCTTCTTTCTTTGACATATATTCCATTAACTCATACTAACTTAAAGGACCACAGAGATGACAAACCTTCACTCATTGCAAAAGCAGATGGCTATTAATTACATGGCAGCAAAGATAAACAGGTTTCTTCTCACTGTGGAAACCTTAAACCATGACAAGTTGTGAGGAGTTAAATCCTTATATTGACAACACTTAAAAGCCTCAGTGATGTGAGATTTATCTTTTACTGCCTAAACATTAGGAGGTCTCATCTCAAACACTACTGAAACTTCTTCAGCGTAGGACGGAAGGGCTATAGTTATAAAACATAGTTTTCTATGAAAGATTGGACTACTCAACCACTGTACATCCTTGCTTTTCAGCAAAAATTACACTATTTTTATGATGTGATCAGACTGAGCACACAGCTCCAGGTAGCTGCATTCTGTGCAGAGGAACTTTGTCACTTCTGCCAGAACAAAGACTAGATTTAAAGGAAACCTGCTCTCTGGTGTCTCTGTGCAGTTGCCTTTGAAGACAGTACTGAACCTTAAAACATACTTCTGTTGTACACACATGGAATCTCAGCAGCACTCAAAAATCCTGTGCATGGGCATTTGACTACTGACCTCAAGGGGAAAGCAGAAATGACAAACCACCACTATGTTTGAATACATGTGAAAGGCTGATACTGACCCTCTGGTGCAGGAAAAGTAGCTTATTAAACAGTATTTAATAACTAAGTTAATAGTGTTTAATCAGTAAGAACCAATCCATAAAATGCTTTAAAAATCACATTTTTTTCCCAGTAGCCCCACTGATGTGTTCCCTCCATCTAAATGTTCTTTGTCCTATTGAATAATTAAGCTTTAGTTCATTTTTTCCAGAGGGGAAATCAAGGCTTTTTTTTTTTCTCCACACATAGCAACACAGCTCCATTTGAAAAGAAAGAACACTATTCTCAGAGTCCTTTGGCTTCAGGGAAGGGCAAGGGGTATTCAACACAGGCTAATGTCCCCCATTTTATGCAATGGGCAGCTACATGCATAAGGAAATAAGCAGGAAACAAGGTCATGATATGTTTATGGACAGCTGGAAATGACTGACCTACAGTTCACAAGCCAGGGACAGGAATAAATCATTCTCCTTGACTTAGAGCTACCTATTAGCCATCCTAGATCTTGTTAGGCAGAAGGAGAAAAAGGGCTTTGAATAAGGACTTTCAAAAATGAGAGCAGGGTATTATTTCTAACAATAACAGCAAAAATGCAGTTTGAACTATGGCGTGTGAAAAAATATTACCTGGTTGATACATAGTGCTGGAAGGTGGGGAATGTTTGTAAATGGCTTCAAAACACTAAAAGTGGCCACAGAACAGCTGCTTTATGTTAGTACCAGGATGACATTATGTACAATCACATCTTTAAATGGGTAAGGCAGCTGTTTCAAATTTAGGGCCTAGGAAAGAGATGTGACAATCATAAAAAAAAATAAATTAAAAAAAAAGGCAGGTTGACTTCATTGGTCATTGCAACTATCAAACTTACCGGTTTCCCAAACTCCAATTCCGAAAAGAATTTATACCAAGGTTCATTCTTTAAATCTATCTCTTCTGGGCTTATATCCCGAGTCTAAAGGAGTTGGTGATAGGGGAATGGAAGAAAGAGAAGGATAACATTATGCAGAGAATACACAGAAAGGGACTGTTAGAGATGCAGATCCCATGGCTTCCATTCTGAAATGTAGATATTTAGCCTTATAATTTGGAATTTCTATAGCATGTTTCTCATAAAGGCTATGAACTGCTTTGCAAACATCAGTTAAGCCAAACAGCATCACTGTGAGCAACATGAATATGAATGAATTGCATTTTACAGGTCAGGAGACCCTCACAGAGAGGGAGAGATGATGCAGCTTGCTCAGAGTCACAGGGAGACTCAGTGGAAGAGCTGAGAGTCAAGCAGTCCCTCAGTCCTACTGTCGGACACTTTTATCAAGTCCAAAGCTGCATGTACCTTATTTTTTTTTTTCATCTTCATTTGGTCAAAAAAAAGACCTTAATCAAATAATACTGCATCTTTAACAGCACATGAACATGTGAGAAACCCTGTTCTATACACTGCAAACAGAGTGGAAGGTGGTTTTCTAAATCATACGAGACACATGTCAGAGAGAGTGCATCCTCAAAGATCTTTGAAAGGATGGACAGAGTGACAATATTACATGTTTCTTCACAAATAAATGTTAGAGTATCAGACAAAACTACAATGAAGAAAAATCAGACAGGACAGAAAACAGTACAGCTGAAAAGTAAATTCCCTTTCATTCAGACCATCTGTCTTAATGAAACAAAAAAAAAAATTGAAATAGTTGTAGTTCTTTGAAAACACTGCTGTTGAGGTAAGACAATAAAAGTCCATTGCTAAAGCTTCTGAGGTGCCACTCCACAAAATACATCTACCTAATTCTTGCATTTCAGCATACCTAGTCTAAGACAGAGTGGATCTCAGTGCATTAAAAATATAAACACATTATGTCTGTTGTGCCAGTATGATCCAAGTGCTCCATCAAAGGAAGAAGGAGCCACACAGATGCAGAGTATCCTCATAGAAATAATTTTGTGATGGGTTTACTAAGGCAGTTGACAACAGTGCTAACTTGGATGTCCCATATTCTGCCATAGTCATTAGCATCACACAAAGAAAACCTCTAGGAAAAGAGCTCAGGATTGATGCTGAATGAGAGGCAATGCAAGATAAACAGTTACATCATGTTTAAGGCCCGATGGCCTGGAGAATGATTTGGTTATTTCTTCAAGGCATAAAGGAATCAATACCTCTATTTTTTATTTACTGCACTACAACTAAAAGCACTCAACTTATATAACTGCATTTACATTAAAACAAAGTCCCCTGATGTCAACAGGAGGCTATTCATTGCTCTGAAATGGTTTTGGATTGGGATTCTGATAGCCACAGCTGTGGGTGTGATTACCAGGAGATACTCACAAATCTCCTGCACCTCCCTCAAAGATGTCATCACTAACCACTACAGTGCTGTTATATTTAATGAGACTGATGGAGACTGCAAAGCTGCTATTCCAAGGCCTTCAAATTAAAGCTCATAAAATAACATTGGAAGTAACACAGCTGTCACTTTCATCTTGGTTTTGTTGAGCTCTGTACATACAAATTTTTTCAATTATGCTGATGATGGTTCTGCTTGTGGCTTTTAGACTCTGATTCCTCAGTTCAGTACCTGATGAAGTCTGAACACGTAAAACAGTGCCACTGGTGATGACAGACCTTTTGCAAATGCTTAAGTACACAGATGAAGTCGGCCTTTTGCCACAAGTTTTAATCTTGTCTGTTTACCGTGAGACAAAATTGATGTTTAAATCAGCAGAAATCTGGCTCCAGGACGGACTGCAGGAATGGAGGTGTCATACCATGCTCAAACCACTCCTCATTGGCACTTCTCTAATGGGATGAGCCAACACCCAGTGGTATCAAGAGGGAGTCATCCACCCATTGCAATAGGCACTAGGATCATGCTCCCATCAGGAGCAACTTTGTTGAAGTCAATGAAGGGACACAGGTGTGAAAAGAAGTTGGTTGCAGGATCTTCAAAAATTGATGGACCTTGATTACACTTGGAAGGAAAAAAGAAAACCCACCAAAATACTAAGGAGAAGCATCAGGTCCCACATCAGACTTGATTCTTACATTTCTATTGATTTAAATTGCTATTCACTCTTGTGTAAAATCCTTGGCAGGTTTTTCAGGAGCATTCCCTTATCTATTCCATGCATGGATCAATGTCTGAGCTGTTGAGGTACAAAGTCCAGTTTACATTTGGAAACTCACATGCAATTAGCACTTCTAATTGAATCCTTCAAATTAATGCCTTTATAGAACCATTATATCTTTATACACTATCTTTATACACTACTAACATAATTCAGTATTTTCTAGCAGTTATAGTGTCACACTTGCACCACAGAAGGACATCTTCAGTGATTTGTGGTGATTTATATAGGACTGGCTAACGAGGTTAGCATCACCTCTCTGCCTGTCCCTTGTCAAGTATTTTCAGACAAGGCTGAAGAAAGAGACTTTTGTATGTCCCTAGCTGTCACAATTCACAGCATTGCTTACTAATTCAGACTGAAATTGGTAACAGCTCACTTAATATGCGAGGTTACATTCCACCATAGCTGGAGAGTTCACATTCAGTCCTGTCACTTCACAGAAGTGGTGAGATCCAGCTGAGGAAAAAATCACCCCAGGGAAGATGGCCATGTCCTAATGCATCTCAGAGGCACCCACTGAGACACACTAAAGGCACTCAAAACTACTTTCATGTTTAAAGCATCAGAGGAACATAGAAACTGAACCTGCCTTCTCTGTTGCATAATGCCTTCAAACCTCCTGCATCAGCTAATGCTGTGCCCTAGAAAAAGTACAGCTGGCAAAACAGCTGTGGAACAGATCACAGTGTCAAACATGGATTAAAAACTAGGGTTAGTGATCCATACTTAACACGGAAAACAACACGTCCAAAAGGAAAGAAGTCTCTCAATCCCCCTGGATCTTGCTTTAGAGAGAACAAAAATGTTAGGAAGTTATGCAGAACAGTTTTCAAAAAACATCACACGAGCACCGCAATATAAGCCTAAGGAATCCCATCCAAATAGAACCACACAAGCATTTAGAGAGTATTTCATAATTTCAGGATAAAGCCACAAACAAGGGTAAATCAAACATTACCATCTTTTCGTTGTTCAGAACAGAGGACTTCCCTGGCTGATAGTCATAAATGCTCCTGGGTTCTGCACGGTATTTTCTGGTGTCCACCTTCTTGTCTGGAGGCTCCCAGTCAGTCCTGGGGAAAGAAAGATCAATGAACTCAAAATACTGTGGTTTCTATGGAGGCAAGCACTCCATTCTGACAGATGCTTTACCTCATTAATTATGGTTTAATCAGGGTACTTTTTTAACCTAGGAAAAGAGACTGCTACAAGAGGAACAGTTGAGATAGGGCTCTGGACATGTATTTGATTATCTATTGCAGGCAGAGCTGGATACAGCTCAGCAGCTGAAATAACGGGAGCAGAGGGGGGTTATTCTAAGGACTTTCAGTAAACTTCCAGACTTTAAATCTTTAAATTTTTTCAATCTTTTCCCCATTGGAAACAGCTTAATGATGGGCTTCAACTAAGCTCACAAATATAAACACATCCAAACTTTGAGCAGAACTCAGATTAAATTCCCTTTGCTAAACTTCTGCCTTTTAGCCACATCGCTGACTACCTGACTACCACTGCTCTGGATTCTGAGGGCACTCTGGATTCCAAAAGGAGTTTTTTCTAGAGACATGAATGAATTATCTCAGGCTGCTCTATTTTCATATGGCTAAGAATAGTCCATTGACTATCCAAACCACTATAATCTTGTGCAGTGCCCATACTGACACAGCTGAAACAAAAGTGACAAAGCATTCAGGGTCCATATCCTACAAGGTCCTGCTAGTCTGAAAACTGGTATCATCAAACACCTAATGCAAAATAACAAATGCTCTTCAAAAAGTCAAGAAAGCAGCCTTTTTAAGATGGTAAACTAATTCTGATTTTGCTTGGCATGTTGTCTTTGATGGGCAATGCATATGTGGATTAATCTCACCCAGAATTCACCAAATCAAAGTGAGGCATCTATCCCAAACTGCTGCTCCAGGTTTCATCTCTCTTACCCTTCTGATCTGGTTAGGACAGAAACAAACCACTGAGCTGTCTAAACTCTCTCCACTGGCTGAGGAGAGACAGACAACCAATTTAATTTTTTTTCTTTCTAAAGTAAGGCAAGATGACAGCCAAAATGACTGGCATACAAACAGTGTACAAATTTCAACAAGGATGATCTTTCCTGACCAGATTAACTTGATTGCTTAAGACTCCAAGCACAGAGAAAATTCTGGTGAGGCACTGGTTTACCACTAGATAATAGTAAGCATTAATTATGGTAATCTTTCCATTTGCAAGAGTTTTCTCAGAGGGCAAATACACTATGTCTTCAATTCCTGCATCTATACTTTCTATCAGTAAACTTTGTCTCCTGATCCAGTGACCTGAGATGCTCACTAAAGCAGTAATGTCAAATAACAGCTTTGCTCATTTGATGCAGCAAGTGAAAAACACTAAGAGCATGTAGAAGGTGGTAAAGGAGGGAGGAACAGTTCAAGAGCTGGGAAAATTCAGCGGGACAGAAAATATTCTTTGCTCATTCTGCTTTCCCTTCATTTGGTAAATGCATTCCTTTCTGTTATTACCATAATAAACTAAGTAAAAAACCAGGAGGGAAAGACCAGAAATGACACTGCTGACCAGAACCTACTTGCAAGAAAGTTCATGTGGGTAAGACTCCTCAGAGATGGAAAAAAGTAACTAAGTTTTTACCAAGATTCAACATAAATCCTAATTTTGCTTTTCCACAATTATCACTACTTGCTTGTATTCTGAGGTGCCTTTACAGTGTCACACTGAACCCAGAGTTTTCACTGTGCCTATGTGGTAGGCACTATATAAGCACGACACCCAACTCTTCACCCAGGCAGGAGACTCTGTGTGATGCCTGATAAAAAAAGACAGAATGGGGGACTGGGCTGTGACAATGAAGGAATCCACTGCCACCTAATAAAAGATTCAGAATAAAAACTATATATCCAAAAAAAGTTTAACTGGAGTTGTGGACCTAAGGCTTCCACTTTTATCCCTTTCCTAATGACAGCTTTCAGATATTCTTCCAGAACTGATCTATACACAACTTAGTTCAGGTCACCTTTCTGGGCTTGATTTCAGTGATGAGGTACGGTTTGGCAGTGGCAAAGTGGCAGATCTCTTCACAACCTTCTCAGAATCAATGTTGTCCATCTCACTCTTGGAGCGGGGAACTTGGGTTCTGCCTGTAGGATAAATCACATACAGGAATACTGGTGACCTGGATAGGAGGCAAATAAATACATGCTTTACATGCCCTTTCTGTCTGACAGAATAAACAAGAAACATGAATTACTTACTGTCCTCAGAATAGGAATAACGAGGAGAGCATGAATCAGAATCTTCATCTGAAAGACAAAAGCATTTTCCAAGTGAGTTGAAAAAGCCCCAAAGAAGAAGCACCAGAGACCCTTTAATTTCTTCTACTAATGCATTCACCATAATTTGAGTGATATGCCCAATACTTACCACAGGGAGAAGATCCTAAAAAATAAAATTCCAATGAGGTTTAAATTGCATTTGAAAATAATTCCTAGATTAGATATAAATACTAATATACTACTTACACTAATACCTTTCTCCAGATAAATGCACACAGTACTTTAAAAAATAATCCCTTTTTATCATAAAGCTCCTCTATAGCAAGGGTTATAGATCCACTTTATCAAAAACTGAGAGATAAATAGAGGATCCAAAAGTCATAGTATATGATTAAAATCATTCATTAGGTGCTAGACACAATGATACAGCTGAGGAGTCCAGCTAACAATCACATATGATTTTTGTATTTAGCTATTAGAGAGCATCCAAAGGAGCAATGAAGGAGCAATAATCCAAAGCAATGAAGACAGTGAAGAGCCTTGAGGTGAAGCCGTATGAGAAGTGGCTGAGGTCACTGTGTCTGTTCAGCCTGGACAAGAGGACACTGAGGACAGACCTCACTGCAGGTGCAGCTTCCTGGGAGGGGCACAGGAGGGGCAGGCACTGATCTCTGCTCTGGGGTGACAGGGACAGGACTGAGGGAATGGCCCGAAGTTGTCAGGAGAGGTTTAAGTTGGATATGAGAAAAGATATTCTTCAACCAGAGTGTGGCTGGGCACTGGAACAGCTCCCCAGGGCAGTGGTGACAGCACCAGCCTGGCAGAGCTCAAGAAGCGTTTGGACAATGCTCTCAGGCACAGGGTGTGACTCTGGGGGTGTCCTGTGCAGGATTAGGAGTTGGACTTTGATGATCCTTGGGGGTCCCTTCCAACTCAGAATATTCTGTGATTCTGTGACTGCAAAGAGAATTGTGAGCTGACATATTACTAATACCTCTGCAAAGAAACCACTAAATGCGACAGAGAAAAAGACATAAAAACAAAGAAGATGAAGCTAGAATAAACTAGATTAAAAAACATTTTTAAAAAGTGTTATGTGAATTTAGTGATGACAATCAAGGCTTGAAACAATTACCAAATTTTCTCTCAAGGAGGACATCAATCAGATGCTACAGCCAATCTTATCTGCTGGAAAAAACCAATTTGGCTAACTCAGCTGACCTGAAGTTGCACTCAAGCCTTCATTAAGCCTTTCAGAAGGTTCAGGATCATCTAAACTTCTAGCCTATCTGCTTTAGTTCTCTTGGTGAATGAATTAGAAGGTTAAAATTCCAAAAAGATGGTTATTGAGTCTTACTATACTTATCATAATCTTCAGGTTAAGAAGGCCAATTCCCATGTTTTAAACCTTAATGAGGAAACTAAATATTTATATTACACTGAACTGTTGACAAAAATGACTTGTATTCTTAAACACAAGTTTGGTTTACTCCAATAGAAAAATACTTGGTAAATCATAAAACTCTCAGCAGTCCCTACAAATACAGATAAACAAATGTCTAAAACTACCTTCACAGCTATTCACCTCTAATAATCTTATTTAGTGTTGGTAATCAATAAAAGACAATTTCATTTACTTACTTGATGAAAACTATCAATATTCATTACAGCTCATCACTCAAACAAGAAAACCATTCAATAAAAAATTCACTTCAGATAATGGCTATTTTCCAATTTCTTATATTTTAATATCTACAACAATGAGGAAAATAGGCATGTTTTGTCTCCGAGTATCTTACGAAGAAGAGTGTCTACATTTCTTTCCTTTTTACACAAGAAACACTGAAACAGAAATCTGGAATGCTTTGATAACGTTAAAGAGTAAATTAGAATTGAGTATTAAAACATCTGTTTCTCAAAACTGCATTCTATCCATGGAACTCTTCTTCACAAAGCAGGTTATCACAAGTTTGTAACTTCAAATCTGATTCCTTTAAAGAAGAGAGGCTGTTTCCCTCTGCAGGGTTGGATTCCATTTCATAGTCTGGACATATTCAGTATGTTTTTAGAAATGCTGAATATATTTTTGAAGGGAGCCCAGATCTTGATGTATCTAGGAGATCTTATGCATCAATCAATTCTGACATTAATTGTATGAAAGTGAGGCTCCAAACCATCTCTGTATATACCCTGCCAGTGATTATGGATCTTTGAAGTGTTTTCTAAACATGAAACGTGTACTGCAACCCCTCCAACTCATCTACATAATCAAATCTTTTGTATTTCTTATCAAGGAAAGAATCCAAGCAAATATTAGAGAAATGTTTCCCAATATATTGAAAATAAAAATTAGTGTTTAGTCCAATAAAATTTCAACTATATAAACCAGCAAATTACTTTCATATGCACATTTCTAGGTACATAGGCGACATTTATGGGAGAACAGACTCTTTAATATATTGTCATCATGGGGTTTGCAAACTATTTTAGTTCAGGTGAGTAAAATGGATTTTCAATCCTCATTATGAACAAGGAAATATTCTCTGTAAAACTCTTTTATCCATTAATTATTGAAATTGTTTCTCTCTCACCCATGCCCACATACAATTCAGCCAAGAGAAAATAACTTACCCTGCATTATGAGTGGCAAGACAGGGCTCTTCACCTAATAGACTTCACTAAGAAATTATCAAGTATCTTAGATATCTGTATGACACTTCATCCACATTCGTTTTAACAATGAAATACACCTTATATTTCCTTGCCTTCTTTGAGTATCTCAGCTCATATTGCATGCTTTCTTCTTACACAAAACCCAAAAACATTGAATAAAATGGTTAATAAATAGTCTCACCAGGGTTGGCTTGAGGCACAGGCTAAGTAGGCAAGTTCCTAAATTGTAGAATCTAAAGTGTCACCAAAGCACCAAGTCAACGAGGCTGTCACCAACAACTTCCCAATCAGGAAATGTCTATACACCCAATGTGTGCAGCAGATTCCTGTGTTTCTCATATATAAATATTTTGCACAGTCACACAATTATCACTGCAACAGACACTGCTTCACCATCCCTCAACTATGACTACAAAGTATTCTGATTTGAATATGAAGTCTAAAGGAATCTGCTGAGCACATGAAGAGATAAAGACAGTGTTATTTCAAGTTGCAAGATGTACTGATGGGACCAAACTCTGCCCTTGCCTAAATATGCCAAGTGCACCTAAGACCAGCCCTGAAACTATGTTACCAAGTTATTTTTATTTTAAAAGACTATACAAAGGGACTGATCCAAAACTCACTGAAGCAAGCAGCCTTTTTACTAATATGCTTCAGTGACATTCTGGGTCTGGCCCTTATATATGTTAATGTTAAAAACCAGAAGCAAATAATTAATGAAATGTATTGATTTGAAAGGGGAGGGGGAGAAATCTCAGTCAAACCCATCTTTACATGTAAAGTCAGCAATCTAGACATGTTAAATAATCACTGCACACGCAACTGATAAGTGCATAGAACCAAGCAAACCCCAAGTTTGCAGCATTAGTCAAATACTAGTTACAAAGCTGGAGGAGCACTGCAAAACCAAAAAGCCATCATACAGTCAAAGCAATGCTTAGAGTGCAGCAAATCATTATGAGGCAGCATAAAGCTCAGCAACTAGAAAGAACTCCAGGAAGAAAATAAATTGATAAGGCAGCATTTGTGCAGAAAGTAGATATATATGGACCTTTATTATTACCTTCAGAGATAGGACTAGGAGTAGACGCAGGAAACTGGTATGTAGGAGAATAAGGATTGTCTTCTGCAGCAGAGAAAAGCAGCGGATTTTGAGACTATCCACAATGAAGTGGAGGTTCTGCTTCATGCCCCAACTTCTATCACCATATGGTTTTATTCCCTACTTTAATAACACTAGGGTAAATGGTATCATACTTTAAAAAAAGATTAATGGATTAGCAAAGATTTAGTTATTTTATGCATCACACAAGAAGGTATGCTGGGCATAACTGAATTTCCAGGTAGTGTAACAGAAAACTAGAACCTCAATCTAGTTAATATTAGGGCACTATAGTACAGTTAACTCAAAGCACAAGACAACAGATACTCTGACTAAACTTCTGGTACCTTCAGTTTTTTGCTGGATTTCAGGAAGTTCAGGAAATGTGTAGGTTGGGCAATAAGGGTTTTCTTCAGGATTGTCTAAGGAGAGGAACGTGATTTGCAAAAAAGAACAGAGAGGACAGATTTTAAGGGGAAGAAGGGTGAGCCAAGAATCCATTCAAGCTGACTACAGTCCCTCTCATGCTGATGTTCTAGCATGACACAATCTAGAATGCCTCTTTGTTCACTGCTGCCTTGCATGTCTGGGCCTTGTGAGAAATCCTGGAAGCCAAGGCAATTGAACTCATTCTCCTCCATCTGAGCATGGGCTTTAGCTGAGCTGAAGAACCTCTGTTAGGAGCAGCAGGATTAGGAAATAGTTGAACTCCTCCTCGTTCCATCCACTACAGCAGAGCATTTATCTATGCATAAAGCTCATCAGGACAGCACCTGCAGCAGCAAATACAGCTCCAGTTTTGCATGCTCGACATTTTGTTACAGAAGCACAGATCTGAGCTGTGCTTGCCTGCATGTCAGGCTGCTCAGACGGTTGCAAGTGCTACTGCAGCCATTTCTCACACAGAGGAAAAATGTGAATGTATCAGCAGTCAGGTACAGAAGTGCCCCAAGGTGGGAATCCCCTGAGAGTTCACCACTACGAAGTTTGTAAGTGCTCACCACAATTCTAGGTTTTCAAAGCAGAAAGATTAGGGTTTTGAAAAAGCAGAGTTCAGATTCTGAACTCACCAAAAATTAACAGAAACCTTTCCACTGGTTTCAGTGAACTTCAAATCATGCTTGTTGCACAGGTACTAAAGTGTAACCGTGTAAAAATTTTTCTCTTATGCACAGAGGAGCTTCAGAGATAACCTACTGTATTTTAAAAGTGTGTGGATTGGGTTAGCTGGTAAAACTGGAGTTCAGGGGTCTATTTTCTCATGGTATGGAATCATTGGCTCTTTTGGCCTCAAATTGTAGAGTTGATTTCATGAGGGCACTGCAGTTCACCTTTCAGAACAACTCAGGTATTTCTTTGGACTTCACTGTTCTCCTACCTTTGACTTCAAAGATTTCAAACACATTGGTTGAGTTCTGTGGTGCAGAGCAAACACTAATTAACATAAAATGCTTTTATTCAACATCCAATACAATTCTTCACATGAATGAAACAAAATGTCATCAAGGTGGTCTTTTAAAGTAAATAAAAACCATCTGTACTACAGTACCTCTATTTAGCTTGTGGATCTGTTTGAACATCGTCTTGTACCAGTCCTTCGATCTGTCTGTATTCTGTTGGAAAAATAAATATACATAGAAATAATCAACAGTGACTTTCCCAGCCTTTCAAAGTTATTACAAATCTTCCAGCAATGAAAAAAAATTATACTCTGTGTGAAAGCTGTACGGTATTAATATTCTGAAATATGAATTATTTCACTATATTTCAGATATATCATCTCAAGTGATGTTTCACTCAAGTAAGTAATAATGTAAAAGCTTTGCAGAGGCAGGTTGTAACCTCTCTAAAACTGCAGATTGTATGAAATGTTTTGTATATTAATTGGGTTTGACATCTAAAATTAAGCAACTTGCCTGTTTTAGTCATACATACCAATTTCCTAAGTACTCAGTGGACACTTAGAAACACTGAGTGTTTAAGTCATTCCAGAAACTAGTTGTAATAATAGGTTAATAAATCTTTTCATAATTTCCCTGAACACTGAATGAATGTAATCACATTTAAAAGAGGTATCTGCCTCTAAGATGGCTAAAATGAGACAAAACTCTCCTGCTAAATGGGAAGGAAACAGAGGAGCAGAAAACATAATTTTCAGATATTATGAGAAGAAATACTAATTTTTAATTTTCTTTCCCCTGAAGCAGCTGAAACAGGTCATAGATAGCAAATGGAATAGTTAATCATAAAATATATTAGAACTTGAATTCTATCTTCCCTTAAATCTCAGCTTTAGTGAGGTTCCTCAGTCCTAAGGTAGGCAGAATCTAGCCCAGGTTTTGTTTATCAAGCACATGCTCAGTGCTGTCTTACCCTCAGTGGAATCCCAATATCATCAACAGAGGTATCAGCCATGTAGTGAGGGCTCTTGACAGTGCTTCTCTTTTCTTCCACTGCCCTCTTCTCGCTGGCCACAGTCTCCTGAAGTGGCTTGTCCCGTAGCAGTGCTGAATCAACTTTATCAGAAACTAATCTGTCTGGCACTGAATCTGCAAATGACAATGGGGGATTTTTACCTCATCCCAGCATTTCACAACATCACCATATTCTGCTCATTTAAGGCAAAAATTCTAGCAAGTAGTTGATGAGACAGACTGTGTCACTGCTGGTTGTGATTAGCAGCTAGACTGAAGGAAATCTCCCAAGAAAATTCCTGATGCCAGTACAAGCAGGTGAGCATCTCTCAGGTAGTTACCATCACACATCTCTTGACAGTCTCAGTTGTCATATAAGACAACAATTTTGATTTCAATAATTGTTTCTTTTGACTAAATTAATTACTAAGTTAATTAGTAACTCTACAGTGTCAGTCTTCATCAAAAATCACAGTAATACAGTCTCCTGTACACCTTTTTTTGCCAATTTCAACCTAAAGGAGCATGGTGTGTGGTAGTGGTGCACTACTTTATAACAGATTGCATTCACCTGTCTGACAATCCCATTTGTTGCAGACAGGATATGATGTTTCTAATTCATTTCCATGCCCTAATCAGAGTATGTGAACAACAAATGTTGTTTAAGCATACATTTATGCACAGGAGTCTGCATAAAGATGGAGGGAAATAACTAATTTCTTCAGATTGCCTTGCTTCCAAACTGGAATTCCTTGAGACTGCCCAACTGACACCCAGAATTAGCAGCAGGCATCACCAAAGGACTTCAGGTTGTTCTGAAGCTCTACCTGGCTCTGCAGAGCTGCAGTACAGTGACCCTTAGACTCAGTGAAGGATTTTTTCCTATGTGGATTTCCTGCAGAGAAAACACCTGCAATTTTAGTCTGCCTCATCAAGACTTTAGCAAATTCTATAATTTTTACATCACTGCATGCATTGAAGAGAGAAAGATAAATTTATTCACATGCACATCACCATCCTGCCCAAAGCCATTAAATGTGTAGAAATCTGATAGGGGCAGACAGTGGAGGAAAGGCTCGTGCACAGCAATGCATTGATCTGTTGGTACCATGAGCAAACACAATTCTGCCCTGCAAAACTCAGAACTAAAGGACTTGTTTTAAAAGGTTGGTAAATTTTATTACTTAGGACAAACAGATGAGTAATTTAGGTGTTTGGTATATTTCTCTGCAGTTTTTGGGCAGTGTGTTTGCTAAAGGCACTCCACAAGCTATCAAAGCAGCAGCTTTGCTCCAGCAGAGACAGCAGCTGGGGGGTAGCAGACCTTTCATATCATACCTGCCAGGCTACTAAGCCTTTTTTGCTGTTCTGTGGTAAAGGAAGAAACAAAACAAAAAGAAATACAGAACAAACGTGTGAGACATAAACAGCAAGTGCTCTGGTGCTGCATTTCTGACAGGCAAGAAATACACTGTAGAATGATAGCAGCTGCTGGAGAGAATCTGTTTGCAAATATCCTGCCAAAGTGACAGCCCACTGTCCCTTCTTCACATAGCAGCCTTGTGGGAGAACAAATTTCATGATGCAGTGACCAACACATTTGCAAAAAGCACTTTTATTTAAATTTTGTTTTTTTCATAACAGCAGAGAATAAAACATTGGACAGAAGACAATTTGAAAACCAGTAAAAATTCACAGAGCCACGCAACTTGATAACTAACTCTGTTACCATTATCATGAAAGTATATATTGTTGGTGCTTGCTGAGTCTCATCACACATTACTGAGCCACAGATTCAATGATTTGTGCACAGACACAGCTTGAAGGCTTTGATTCTCAAAACAGTCCCCTTGGTTAGAGGCTTTTCATTAATGACTTCCCAGACTGGAGTATTTGTGGTATCTCTCAGCAGGTTTGACCACCCTAAAGTTAGTGCTTTCTAAAAGGATGTCCAAATGACTTACCCAAACCACAGCTGGGAATAAACCAAGAATGCTTAACACTCTGTTCTCTGCTTTTTTTTATTCCCTAGCAATTAATTTTTTTCTTTAAAGCATGAAAGCCGTTTGAAAAAAATAAATTATTTTACTGACATAAAAAGCACAAACACTTTTGAAAGCTCTTATTGTTAGAGCCAAGATCAAAAACCTTTAATATATTAAATACAACTGTTATAAATTTATGATAAACCATGCCATGCAATGCCTGCACTTTGGGGTGGCATAGAACACTTGCCAAGCAAGTCTGCCTTAGTAACAAACCTGCAGGTGTGTGCTGTTTTCTAGAGGAACCCACCTTCACTAGGTATTTGTGCTAAGTGGATCATCTCAGCAAGGGAGACTGGTATTTCTCCTCGGTGTAGCTCCCCCATCAATACCTCTGAACTTTGACCTTTAGCCCCAGCCCTCTGCTCTGCTGACCACTCTTGGCAAGCTGCTCCTGTACACAATGTTCACACGATAGCTGCCAACAAAGGGAAAAAAACCCTACATGCACTGGGTAAAGGGAAGGGTCTGCACTCTGAGCCAGAAGAATAGATGGGAACCATCTGCAGGGCTCACTGAGGTAAGCAGGCCACCACGAATAGGTTGCTGTGAGAAATGCAAGTGAGAAATGCAACAATGCCCATCTCCGGAACGTGGGAGGAAAAAATGTAAGTGACAGTGGTGTGACCAAGGAGAACTCTGTTGAATGAATCACTGAGCTATTCTGACAAGAACATGTAGTTTAAGGTGTCAATGCTTGAGAGTTTTTTCCACAGAGGAGAGAACACCATGAATTAATACACTCTTCATGAAAAAACTCATATGTACATTTTACACAAAGGGGAGATTTCCTTTTCCTTTGTATCTCTGTGTAGGAAAGGGAGCAGCTGATGGATAGAAGCAGGAGGAGGAGGAGGTGTCTGCTATTTCACTCTCCTGCCTGACCAGCCAGACTGTAGCCCCAGGCACACACCAGCTAACTGAGGCTTTCACTCCTCCTCTTGTGCTCTGGGACCATAAGTAAAGGCCAAGAACTTGCAGGCTTTTCAGACAAAGGGTCAAGCAGAGGGATAAAACTGCTGGCAACAGTGAAGGAATGATTATAGTTGCTCTCAGGGGTCCCCCAGAGGAGGCAGCACTGGAGGAGACTAAGACTTGAAAAAAAGGGGAAGAGGAAATAAATATTTGAGAACATGTTTGGTGCAAAATAAAGGTGTTGAAAAGAAAATCTGGTAGAAATAAACAAGAGGATCTGAAATTACTTGTTTATAAGTATGAATATTATTCAATTGAGATTAATGAGATCCAGGAGAAAAAATTCTGAGATCTTTCATCCTAACTTGCTGAGATCACACAAACAAGAAAGGATATAGTGTGCTGCCCTGTGTTTCAAATGCCATTACCTGTTTCTAAGTCTCTGATGGCTCCAAATCAAAGGGTCTTACAAGCAGTTTAATGAACTAGCAAAGAAAGTACAAAAAAGTAAGAAGTAATAGCAAGAAGTAGTTGATGTCTGGTACAACAGTCACTTCAGAGAATAAGAGAGCTAACTCCTTAAAAAGCAATCAATAATCCACTGAGGACAAAGGAAGTCCCATTATCCATCTGGAAGACCTCAGACTTCCTGCATTAAAATGACCTTGAAATTTCTAATTTACAGGGTATTTCAGAGCACACAAAAGGATTTTTTACTAAACATCATCTTGACATGAAGGAATTGATTTCATCACAAAACATAATTGACCATTCAGGGGAAGGTGGAACTTAACCTAGTAACAATTTGATAGATGCCATGAGAGCAGCCAAGTTTTGAACAGATAAGGTTCATAAATATGAAACCAAATATGAATCATATCAGCCAGGACAAAAATTCAATAGATAACTAAGAGCTGAGGATCATTTAAAAATACTAAATTAGTAGAAAGAAATCTGAATGCTATGCTGGGATAAATCCTAGATAGGAATGGAAGCATAAGAACTGCAGGAAACCCTCAACACAAAAAAAGATGGGAAATGTGCACCTACAAGAAAGCAACATATACTGGGGAATGAAAGAAAATTACAGTGGAATAAAAGTATTAACAGAATGCTTCAGACTCAAAAATAGGTTTGAGGCACAAGAAGAATATACAGAAACTAGCAATGATGTAGTTCTTTTACAAAATTTATTACAATAGTAATAAAAGGGCAGGAAAGATGACACATCTGATTAGTATTTCCATTCTGCATTTGAAAAAAAAAAAGCAGAAAAAAATGTATGATGTCTTACTTTGCCTGGTGGAGAAATACTTTCCACTACAACAGTAACTAAGAATTATGCTGAAGGACAACTGAGGTCAGATAAAAATGAACATGTTCATATAAACCATAGTAAAAGTTTTAGAGCAGTATTCTGCTCTAAAGGGAGCAGCTCTGGAGATTGGGCCATTCCTCCTCGGTATGTCTTGGAACACTCCAAGGAAACTCCACAGGACAAGGAAGAAAGCAAATGTTGTGACAACCTTTGGAAAAGATGATTCTGATGGCTGGGACATCTGTCTGTCAAGTCAGCAATAATGCCATAAAAATGATTTATATGGGATCTCCTAATAAATACATAGTTTGACACATACAGTGTCAATCAATCCATATTTGTGACTATGATGCCTTGTCAAACCAACATGACACATGCAAATTATAAATTGGACTAATATATACCGAAAAACAGGGATTAGAATTATATACTTCACAGACATGATCAAATGGCATATCTGGCCATGATCTGTATCACAGAAAAAAACATGATGAGAGAAGGCTCTTCAATCTATTAGGGTAAAGTATCACGTGTGCTAATGGTCAAAAGCAATATTTAGACAGGACAAACCGTTTACCGTGAAGGTAATTAGTAAACAGAATAATTCAGTTCTCTCAGAGCCAGTGTGCATGTATCATCACATGGTACAACTTTGTCTCTCATGCTCTTCAAGTCTACAGAGGGAAAATATCCTTGTTAAAATACTCCAAATTTGATGGAAAAAAAAATACTAAAAGTATATCGCACCTCAAGAAAGTCAACAAAAAGTTTTGACATTTAAAAAGGCTGCCTCAAATCAGATTTTCTCCTCCTCAAGCAGCTGAGGAATTCAGACATCCTCATTCAGAAGCACACAAGCAAAGCTGTTTCAGATGCTAGCAAAAAGGAGGAAATAATCCACTCATTACCCCTTCAATCTGCTGGGCTACAGTAAGAACACTATCTTCAAGATCAAAGACCGAAGCCTGTTTTTAAAAGGCACTGATAAAAATCTCATGAGGTACTGCAAAGGAGCACATCAATGCTGTAATTAAAATGGCTACAGTATGAGAGTGCAGGCCTTGACCCCATGTTCTGATTTTTTTTTCTTCCCTTTGAAAAGGTAAGCCACAGCAAGTGGCTAGATTCCTGAAGTTTCCCAAGTCCACTAGAAATCAAGGCAAACTGGGCTGCATTTCTCTGGCCTGTCACAAGCTACAGTCTTTAGCAATGCACAATGAATTGGGAAGCTGTGGTAATGCCAGCCATCAGGAGAACTAAAAAGGAGAAGCAAAGTTTCCCTCCAAATCCAGAGGCAGAGAGACAGAACTATCCATTCAGCTTGTGTGAGAAAGGTTTGATTCCTGGGAGTTCTCAAACAAGGCTGTTTTGCTCATTTGTTAATCCAGAGCTCAAAGATTACTGCAATATGAGTTTGAGTTGATCCAGTTACTGATAGAGGAAAAAATTGCCAAGATCAAACTTGTGGGAAAGTAGATTATGTACTGTTGGGCAAATTCTACAAATTCAGTGGTCAAATCTCTCCCACAACAATAGAAAATACAGCTGCTTTCACACTGCAGTAGCTGAGAAGTAGCAAATCACCTTTTCAAGCTACCTTGCTCCTACAGACAGATTGATGGGAGCATACAACATTTTCCACAACAAGACACCTGACATCTGTTATCTTGCAATAGCTTATTCATGTATCTACAGCCCCATTAAAAATCTCTCCCCAGCCTCAAAGAGCTTCTGATCCACAGGTTTTAATTAGAAAAAACTTATCACTCTCACTTGCCTGTTGCATGTTCCAGTCATTAAGACTTTTTTTGAGGCAACTTTGTTAGTTCTTAGTAGTCTGGACCTAATTATCAACAGCACACACATTCTCCAGTTCCTTATAATAGCATAACAGTTTGCTCATTTTGAGCCAAAATTATTTACATGCAAGTCTCCTTACCTCGATTGTGCTGCAAGAGGACAATGGTGGGATTGACGATTGTGGTAGAAGGATAGGCAGAGGCAGACTTGCTGATGGAAGTGATGGAAGTTGAATAGTCAGTGCCAGGCTGGGGCACTTCATTTAGCACAGGACCTGGGTCCTGAAAAGAAGAGCAACACATCATTAGCAGCATGCAGATGGGTGCTACGTTGGGAAAATCTGGAAAAAACCCCAACATTTTAGGCTGAATGAGAAGCATAATCACAGAAAATTTTAGTAAAAAAGGCATAAGCACAAGTATTACCCTGCTCCTTGTACATACCCTGCTCATTGTTAATGAAATTAGTTTGCTAAGGCAGTACTATAGTTATTTGGTGTTGGGTTTCACAACTCCAACTCCAAAAGAGGGCACTAAGCTCATCTAGCAGACACTTTGGAGCAAACACAAGGTGTCGGAAATGAGCAAATCTGGTTGAGGGGAGAGGGGAAAGATGCAGACATCTTTCCTCTGATACATCCACACACAAACATCTGTTCCAAGAGTATTCCTTTCATAGCAAGTCAGACATGCAAAACTCATGCAATTCTGGAGTGAAACAGTATTACTGCAGCTGGTTTGTTAAGAAAAATCTAAGGAATTAAGTTGGCACTATCACTCTGGAGATAATGTGACACCTACCTGATTGAAGTAATGACATAAAAAGGCCTCAAAACTGACAGAGAGTAACAAGTAGGACTCTAATAAGGAAGATGGCTTTGCTGCTGGAGCACAGGTAGCAAGCTGCACTTGCTCTACTAAAGCATCCTGCTCCATTATTTGCTTATTTCAAACCCACCTCTGATATCACCACAGCTCTGGCTGCTCTGTAGAACTACAGGCTGTGTCAGAAGGGAGACTTTGAAACCTAGCTCACCTTTGAAAAGCCTCAGTCCATGGATATTGGACTTCTGGTGGTGGGAAGGTGGCTAAGATAAAGAAGGGATGATGACTAAAGACTGTGCGTGCATCGGTTTAGACTGAGATTCTTCAAAGATTCTGAAGGAATTTGGACACACAATTACCCTTAATGGGGACTGAGCATCCAAACAAAGAGAATATGGGACAGCAAACCAAATTCCAGCACTCCTGCTGCTCCACTGTCAGACTCAAATGCTGCAAGCCACTGATCCGTAAAATCAGCTCAGCATTCAAGGGTATTTTCATGATTTAAAAAAAAAAAAACCTGAATATGCCCAGAATATTGCTCCAGAAAAATTCCTACTTCCAGCTTTTCTGGCTAAGTGCAACTGCAACTCAGTGCCCTTCATACACACCAGCACCAGACAAAAGGACTTCCAGCATCAGGCAGGGGACTGAACAGGGGCCAAAGCGAGGCCTGGCACCAGAGCTCAGAGATAAATCATAGTGACAATTGGCCATGATCAGAACAAGCACCTACAGCCTCTCCAGCCTGCAGGGGAAATGGGGAAGAACAATCTTGTTCTGTTGGATGAAGGTGAACTTGCTTCAAGCAGCAGCTGGTCAGGCCATAGACATTTCATGGGGACAGAAGAGAATCAATGGTCCTTAGGAACAGAAGATGTCCCCTAGAGAGAGACCAGCCCCATTTTGCTGACTGCAATAATATTTCATACAATGCAATTAGTAAAAAAGAGGAAGAGTCAGGGAAAAGTGAGAGAATTGGCTTTGAGCTTCACTTTGATAACTAAAATACAAATAAGAATCCCTCAAAGAAGAGGGATGCTGGATCAGGATAGGCTCATCAGCCCCAGTGAAGTCAAAGAGGGTGAACAAAGACCATTTAAATCATTATGGAAAACAGATTGGTGACTACATGCTTGAAGTGAGCATGTCCAAAAATGTTTCAACTCTCATCTCAAGAAAGTCAGGTATAGCAAAACTTCCACTGCTCCTCTATGATTTGGATGCCTCCTGATTTTTTTTTTTTCTGGAATCTGCAGATAGACTCCATTAAAAAAAAAGAAAATCAAAACAACACACAAAACCCCTCCAAAACAGAAACAAACAAAGAACACCAAACAAACAAAAAACGAAGTAAAACCAAAACATCAAATCCAAACTTTCATTCATTGCTCTCTGCAATAAAAAACCAACCAATTTTAATAAAAGTAGAAAGGCCAATGCTGAGAACTTTTGAAAATGTCATCCTTGGTTGTTTTTTCCTTTCCCCTAGCCCACATGCCTGTTTGCTAGATCCCCATAGAGTCAAAGCGCAGAGGAAGCATCATCATGAGAGAATGTAGTTTCTGCTGAACTTCTTGTCCTCACAAGCAAACATAAAAAAGAAAAGATGGCCCTAAGACTTTCAGCACGAGGAGAGTAGGGTACTTTTTGCTTCCCCTGCAACTTTAACTGAGAGCTACTTTTCTTCCTTGTCCTCGAGGACTTTTTAAAATAGGTGATGAGCTTAAAGAGAAACAAAATCTAACTCAAGAAGAAAAAAACTCAAGAAGAACACAGTAAATTCCAAGTTCAAAATCTTGTGGACTGAATTATTCATATTTTTCAAAGACAAGCAATTCCAAAATGAAGAGACTCTCTGCTTAATCTATCACATAGCACCTCCACGCTTGAAGGACTCTTAGTACAGTAACTGATAACTTGTAGGTCATTGGATACTGGCAGCAATCTTACACTGATTTTATCAGGGATTTGTGTGGAGACCATATGGTCTTGTGGCTCTAAGTGGAACAGAAAGCCAGTCCTAACCTTTAACTGGCCTGCTGTTGCTGCTTTAAATGTTATTCAAACACAATTAAGGATGCTATAAAAAGAGTTTGAAAAGATCAGTTAGTTGCAGCTATTCAGTTTATGCAGGATTCATTATTCTGAGCAAATCCTGTTAAGACTCTTAAGGTGTACATCATCCAGCAGAATGGGCACAAAGGGAGATAGTCAAATGTTGTGAGAAGTCAAAAGAAAGTCCAAAGCTGCACAAGGCAGGCAAAATGCATGCACTAGCACAGGACGCAAACAAGGTCTCAGTTGTCATGCTGCTGGCAGGGAGTGAGTCATCACTCCTCCCTCAAGTTTAGTATTGCAAGGAGAAAGTAATTTTAATCCAGGAATACAAATTTAGGAAAAGGGCGAGGAGGGTACTTGGCAAGCTTACTTTATGTGAGATGACTCCAGTGATTTCAGGCTTCAAGCCCCTGTGCAAAGCCCCCGTGACTGGAGGGACAAGTGAAGGTGGTGATGAGAAGAATGGCAGTTTCGGGTAAACAGAGGGTAATGTGCCAGATGTGGAGGGTGCTTGGTTATGGTGGGAGCCCCTCTGGAGATGTGGGGGAATGAAATCGTCTAGAGTTGGAAAAGTCAAGGGTGAGCCAGGAGAAACAATCTCAGGGAATACGGAGCCTTGCCCGAAAGGAACCAGAGGCGGTGGTGGAGTGCTGGAACTGCCTTCTTGTTGTCTGTCTGGATTAACCTGGAGGAGGGGGACTACTATAACTCCAGGCTGAGCTGAGGTGGTGGCAGTGGCATCCTGTAGGAAACAAGGTGTTGTTATGCATTGGGGGAGATTGTTACTTTAGTCTAATGCAGCCATATCGTGTCATGCAAGGAATGTACCCAAAATGATACAAAGCCCCAGCAGATCTTCTTTCGTTAAGGAAACATACTTCTTCAGGCTTGCAGCCCTGGCCTCTATGAACACAATCCTTTTTCCTCAAAAATCTTTATTCCCCCTCACCACCCCTCTTCTCCAGTTCTGTGTAGTGAGGCTAAATCAAACCAAAGAATAGCTCAACATTCACCATCACTTGAGAAGCTCTAACCATTACACATTACAGAGTTTGCTTCTTTTACATCTCCCTAAATTAGAAAGAGCCTCACCAGTCCAACCCAACTCCCTACAAATACCACACACACACACACACACAAACACACAGATCAACATTGAGGGGACGCATATGGGGTGTTAAATATTATCAAGTAAAAGACCACAAGACTCAGGGTGGCACAACAAGTGCTGAGAAATTGAGGTAGGAGGGGAATAAAGCATTAAGGGAAAACATTGTAATGAACTAAAGAACTGTTCGCTCGGCTGAAAGAAAACAAGGTTATGGAGAAAACATGTACCATGCTGCGTCCCATTGCCTTGTATGGTGGCTGTCGCTGCTGGGTAAGGTAAGGCTCTTTTCTCATCCTGTCCTCTGTGGCAGTTGTGCTCTGGGGCTCTAGCACTCTGTCCCTCACAGCTTGCGGAGGTGATGACTGAGTCCGGGAGGGCTGGCCTGCACCATAACTAACTGCGTCTTTGCTGAGGACAATGTAAAAGTACGGCCTGGGAGGAATAGGAGGAGGAGGAGCAGCAGGAAGAGACTTTTCAGTGTCTGTTACAGAGGAAACAATGTTGGTGGCTGGTGCCTGAGTGAGCTCAGCGCCCAAACTGGTGCTGGCTGCTGGGTCATGTGTGGTGCCAGTGGAATTTTGAGATGCGCCTGAGCAAGTGCTGTTAGATAAACAAGCTACATATAGTTTGCTGACCTTTTTATCCGCCTTCGTCTCATGACTGGAATTCATTCCAGCCTTACTACTGGGATCTGCCCTGTCAGGGTTGTGTTGTATGGATGCTGCACCCGACGAGGAGTGACTTTCCAAGAGTGGCTGCCCAGCATGCACCTCATCTTTGGGGCCTGAAGAGGGAGAACGCCCTGTTTGCCAGCCTTGCTTCCCACTGGGGATGGCCCCATAGGGGGTAGGTGATGACAAATAACAGCGTGCACTGGTGCTTGGTGATGCACGCTGTGTATAAGGCTTGGGTGCATTCAGGTACACACAGTCCATGATGGGCACTGGCAACAGGTTGGTCGCTTTAGTGTCAGTGCGAGGACGCCATGCAAAGCTCTCCTCTTTGGGAAGAGGAGGACGGGGAGGAGCAAGGGCCTGATCAGGCAGAGTCAAGAAGGTAGGAAGGAGAAAGGAAGCAGCATCAAATGAAAGGAAAAAGGAAGGAAAAAAAATTACATTCTCAGAATGAATTTGATCATTAGACTTGGGTTAAGCAGGTTTTAATACAGCAAGAATAAAAAGCAAATACAGTATCTGGAAGGCCAGTGCAGAACTCACTCACATCCATCATCTCCCACATTCTTTCTTAGCACAGCTCACTGCAGCACACAGACTTAACCCAGCCCTCATGTCCCTGCCCACATTAACCTCTCTGTGCTCAATAATTCTCACTACTGTATTGTTTCAGGAGGCTGGCACAGCAATACCCACCATGCCCCTGGGAAAGCCTCAGTCAAGATTTAACATCATGGCTAACTAAATTCAGTCTCATGATTGCATAACTAAACACTTCCCAGCACTGGAGACATTTGAACTGCAAAGCCAAATTCAGAGATCTAGGCCATCTCTGCATGTTAAGTGCACTGCTGAAAAATGAACATTGCCAAGTTTCACCAATGCTAATGAAAGCAGACATCATGAGAGTACTGTAGCCTACCACAGCTGGCTAAATAAAAACTCAGCATTTCTTCTTTCTAAAGGCCAGCTCTTTAATTCTCTTAAGGATTTTTCCATCCTGAAAATGCTTTTCAGAATAATTAAAGTTTCTTGAGGACATGAGATCATCAGAATTTGCCTCCAGAATCAAGATCACCATGAGAGAAATCCTGCTTCTAGTAAATAATAAGAAAAGCTTTACTGGTTTTGGTACTTGGCAGCATATAGCTTGCTAACTCCAAATCACCTGCCTACTGCAACTCTAATTACAGTGAATTTTTTCTGAAAGCCAAACTGTTTTGAGATAAAATAAGAATATAGAGATTTCATTTTATTTATTGCTTTCTTGCCAGTAGCTGAAAACTATGATCTACTGGAAAGAGGAAAATACTCACCTGGTGAACAGCAACTCCCTGAATTTTTGCAAATTAACCCTTTGGAGACTGTGAAAGTAGGTTTTACAAACACCCTGTTGTCATATCTTTATGGGCAAATGCTGCCACTGCTAAAAATGTCAAAACCAGAGAATGAAGATGTCTTAACAGCTTTCAACATTCAAATCTGGAAAGAGACATCCTTTAAAAGTCATCCACACACGACAAGTTGTGGCAAGCACCTATTCTTGTTACATGGATATAGATGTAGAAAAGCTTCATAAAATTACAGCTGCTGTTCCAATATCTGCTGTCTTCATGCTGCCCCTCTGCCCCTCCCCACTCTTCCCTGAAGCATAAGGGAGTGAAGTGGGTTGGTCAGAGATGTTCTAAAGGGCTTCTGCCCTTAGGTTCATTCCTTTCAAAACTTCTTCCATTTCGGCTCAGTTTGAACAGGAGTTCTTGAGACTTCTGTAACAAGTATTATGTGCACCAGTGCCCTCTCTGTTCATAACGACATCAGGAAAGGACCACAAAACAGCTCTAAGTACTGAGCAGAAATGGGTGTCTCTTTAGGGTGCTGCTCCTTCCCACACCTTCATTGGAGCTGCTCCTTCTTCCATTTTCACTTATGGTACCTCGTCTGTAGCATTGCTAAAGGGACCCTGATGATGGGAGCAGTCACACTGACAGGGGACTGGGCTTTAATGGGACTCTGTTCCACAAAAGAATCCAGTTTCTAACGAAGGGTTTCCTTACCAGCTTCCAGACTGCTGCTGTGTGGACTGAGCACCTCCCCCACCCCCCCCAAAAAAAAAGGATTACATTGCACTTCTCTTAGCAGACTGACTGCAACAATTTACCTTTAGGTACAAATAACCTTTCCCTTATCGGCTCCTACCAGCTACAGTGTTAAAACTGAAAGGCATTTCCCCAATATCTTATTTTTAAGGTAGGGTGCAACTCTGATTTCAGCCTGCAGCGATTTCTAGGAAATAAACCAGCATAAAATACAAAATAATTACAGATGATTACTTCACCTTTTTTTCTTGCAAATAGCATTGTCCTCCTCCTTCCTCCACCCAGGAAACACTGTGGTGTGCCTGAATACATGAGCTCCACAACACTTCGCTGACATCGGTGTTGCCCCCAGTTTAAAGGTAGGAAAAGCTGAGGCACAGCAACTTACCCATCTGCATCCAAGTTTGGAGTTCAACTCAGGACTCCTGATCATGAATCCAGTGCTTGAACCCTGGTGATCACCCTCAGGGTCACAGAAGAAAGGCTTACCTGTGGCTTGCTGTCTGAAGAAAGGTTCGGGCGCACACTCCTGTAACCCTTGGCAGCCAGAGAAGACGGCTGGGCATCCCCATTGGCATCAGTGTTAGACGACGGCCTCCAATCATCTGCGAGGGGAAAGAAAACTCAGATCACAGATTCCCTCTAGTTGCAGGATAAGTGAAAGGAGGGGACTCTTTTCTTCTTTTCTCCCCCCCTTTCTTTTTTTTCCCCCCAGGCAACAAGAAACAATTCCAATAAAGCAACAGAAGTAACAACAGAAGCAGCCAATGTTTATACCTGTTTCTGAGTTTTCTGACTCCAGACCTAAGTGTTTCACAGGAGAGGGGGACAGAGGAGGTGGGGGTGGAGGAAAGGCATAGAGGAAAAGGGAAAAAAATAAACCATTACATTTCCAGAAAACATGTACCAATTGAAGTTAAGAGTCAAGCTACTTCATTTCACACATAAAATGCTTTCTGACAGGGCTGCGTAATTACCATAGAGACCAGCCCTAAACATGATGTCCTCCTTGTTTCTGACCTTTGTAAACACAAGGCAATTCATTCAGAGCAATGAAGAAACAATTGTTCATTGACATTCTTATTTCAGAGGCAAAACGGCTGCCCAGCTAGCTACTTTCTAAAGCTGCAGCTTGACATCCAGACACCACAAATTACTGGCAATGTAGGCACCCTGTATTCAGATTATGAAGACATATCTATCCTTAACAATATCACTATATGTGATTGAGATAAAGGATTATCAACGAATAGATCAAGTTTTGCAGACTAAGTGCATGAAGGGAGTTCTAAGATACCACTTTACAACCCAGTCCCTGCAGCTATATGCAGTGGTCTCATCACATATTTACCGGCTTCCCACTGGGCTCCTCCCCACTCTGTACCCATTCTGCTGTTTAAGTTATATGCATGAAGCTCTCCCAGCTCCAAAGTGCATTCCATAAAGCGATTGAGAGAGTAAGCAAAAGAAGTATTAATGAACTGATTTCCATAGTAATGGGCCCATTGCTATTCAAGCTGATGGAAATTTATGAAGCCATCAACAGAAAGGAGAGAGGCAACAGCAGGGGGTAGGAGTGAAGAAACAGGGAAAGGCAAGCATAAAAAGAGGGTAGGTCATGGGTGGAGCAGAACGGGAGAAGACAGAGCAGAAAGTGACACATTAGGGCTAGAATTAATGGAATTGCCCTTTCTCCAACAATACAGTCAGAAACGATGGATGCTTTGCTTTCAAGAACACGTTTTACCCCCTCCCCCTTAACAGCATCTTGCCTTTGAGAGTTCATCCTCTTTGCCAGACCCACGACACTGGCCAGGTTTGCTATGCTTTGCCTGTCTCCTACAATTAAGTAATTACACGTCTGCTATTGAAAGATGCAGAGCTCTGTGGCCGCTGTCCGGCTGGGGGGACGCTATCCCTGCTTCCCTGACAACCCAGCTGAATGCTGCAGAGGCAGCAGCACCACTCAGCTTCTTTCTGTTCCACCTCATGCCTGGCATAAAAGGAGGTGACACAGGCTGCCCTGGGGGTGGTGGGGGTGGGAGGGGAAGAAAGAAAAGAACTGAGAGGTTTTGGTGCTCGTGACAAACTTCAGTCAATGACTGAGTGGTCATGAAACCTGCACTAGAGTCAGTCTCTCTACTAGTCTGGTCTTTGCAAGAGGTTTCCAACTATGCTATGGAATTCTGGGCTTTAAACCACAATCATAAAGTAAGCCCAAGACCCTGGACTGACAGGTCTTGAAGTTACTGTGAGTAACAAATTCCAGTTAACCTTCTACCACTTACTTTCAGGTTGCTCAGCATCCTGAGGACATGGTGAAGTGATATTCCGATTCCCTTCATTGGATGGAGTTGCCCGGAGGGTTACAGCTCCTTTTCCACTGCAGACTTTTGTGGGATCCATTTCTACAAGAAATGCACATGCACAGAAGAAACACACAGAAAATGATGATGCAAAGCTATCAGGATCCATTAGAGCTTTAGAGTAATTTTGGCATGGCTGCCTCCAGGTGTATCAATCTAGTAATGTTTGTGCAGATGAAGATTAGCTCCATAAAGCATTGAGAAACCAAAGCAGTTCTATATTCATGTAATTGATGAATGTAGCAGTTAAGTTCTGAGTTGGTGCAACAGAGCTAAGAAAGGAGGGGGGAAAAAGAGTGTTTGAGCCAAAGGTTACAGGTCCATTTGCTTTATTTGTTCTACTCTGTACAGAGATACTGCACTAGCAAGGACAGTCTACATTTCACCTGTGGCTCTTCTATAGGGATGTCCCAGTGACATAATGCACACACTTTGTGTGCCAAAGCTTAAAAATGCCTTCTGTGGAGGATTGAAAGATGAAAAAAAATAAAACTTTTGACCACTGGAAGATAAAATCTTGTAATGATGCTGAATATGATCTAAAGGCAAGGCACTGCAAGCCACCTCTCTGCCATCTCCCCATTTCATTGCAGTGGTTCACCTTCTGACACAGGAGCCCAAACCCCAGAAAGCAGGAGGAGATTTAACACAAGCCTATTCAGATCAACCTGTGAGCCAGATATCAGATCATGCCAGCATCCTTGCTGAGGAACAGTTCAGCACAGCTTCTGTGCAGGCTTACCTTTGTGTATTTCAGTCCATGATCTGGGTTTTCTCCTCCTGTCATCCTATTAAGTAATAACAAACCAGTACTTCAAAGCTACATCTCTTTCTCGTCCTACTTAAAATCTTTCTGGGAGAGTTGTTTCCTTTAAGATACCTCTGGAAATAATAAGCCTGAAAAGTGTCTTGTTTCTCTAGGCTACTTCCATGGACCTCCTCTTCTCATGCACTATTAGTGACCCTGCAGCTGCCATCAGACTTCTCTTACCTACACAGAGGTACCAGCCCTACCATGGCTGCACAGGGAGTGTGAAGGGGTACTGAGTGCATGCTGCATTACAGAAGTGACAACACAATAATTTTTATTTTTATGGGTTGAGGATCACACTATCTCTGCATGGGGAAGGATGCAGCTCTTCTCCAGGAACTGCTGTTATAACAAAAATGATGCCTTCAGACTGGACAGAGGGGGCAAAAGTGGTTGCTTATTGTCCAGACCACAGCCCACATTTGTGCAGATCAGTATTCCTTGGCTGATTTCAGCAAGGTAATGCCCCACCAAATTCAGACCAGTACAGTGCCTACAGACCACAGGAACACTTTGGCTAAGGTTGCAAACCATGCAAACCACAGCCAGTGAGGCCACAATATGGGGAAACATCAATATGCCAGACAGACGGCGGCAGTAAGAGGAGAAACTCAATGAATGCCAAACTCCTGGCTCTCACTGAAAGCCCTCTGTGCTGGAATCTGCACTGCTGAAGCCCTTACATGGGTTTAGGGATTTCAGTGCTTTAGGGATTTCACAAAAAGCATGGTTTCAGATCCATACTTAGGGCTATAAAAAGGATGGAGTAAGCAAGAAATCAGAGAATACTTTCCTATAGTTCAGCCTTTAGCTAACTGAGGCAGCATGGAGGCAGCCTCTGTGGGGAGAAAGACTATCCACCCAGACATATCAAAAGCTGTTTCATCCTTAAATATACCGCAGCTAATCACAACTTAAGGTCACCCACATTCCTGGTGAAATAGAAGTAGACTTCTCTGACTAATTTTTACATGATTCAGGTAGGGTCAGGATTCCTTTTGCTCAAGAGTGCAGTCCTGGCTATCATTCCCACCTGCACAGCACAACACAGAGCCCAAGGACTCCATGGACTCACTTTCAAACCACAGGACAAAGGCTTAAGCTCTGAGACTCCAGTTTTAAGAGTGTTGTAACTGTAAAGCATGGACATGATGCTGGGAATCACTGGGCCTGATATAAATGTCACAAAGAGTGTAGGGTAGCTGTTCTCCTACAACCCTATGCCTACACTTGCTTCACAGGCACTGGAGAGAAATGGAAACAGAGTTCAACATATATGACATGTCAAAACAGTATCTTCGTCATATTGGAAGAAAATCAAATTTGGGAATCAATGCATTTTTTTTTTTATTTTCCATACAACAGATTAAACCTGTATACTGAACCAAAAGAATAAGAGTCGGAAAAAAAATGCTCTGAACTAAAAAAAATGTAAATGCTTTGAATATATTTGAAAATAGACTCTTGCCAGACTATCTCACCTTGGGAGATGAAAACAAATGTCTAGAATGATGAATTCCCTCACAAATGACGGAAAACAAGAATCTGAATCTCTCAGTACAGAAATCCAGCAGCTAGTAATAAACAGGACATTAACACTGTACTAGTCCAACCAAGCACACGTATGACAGATTAGGAGAGACAAGCAGTATCAGTCACACTACTCTGACTGTCCAAATCCTACAAAGTACAAGCATAATCTTGTACTTCTAGTGGGGAAACATGCACTGGGGAAAGGGTGACAGACAGCCTCACATCCTTACTTATTCACATGTGGATTAAATTCAGTGCATGTACAGAAAAACAAAACCATACTACCAATGTTGAACTATGCTTGAACCATTTGTTTTCATAAAGACCAAAGATATGCAGGAAACATTCTTTGGTTCTTCAGGAGTTTAGTTCAAAATGAGTCTATAATAATAATAACAACTATACTTTTCATAACTGAGCATTAGTAGAAGAGCTTACAATGATCTCAGATTCAAGCAGACATAATTACGTCTGCAGAAGAGCAGTATAATTGAGAACAGTGTATTGTGCCATCAAGAGCTAACTGTGTTACCTACTGATGAAATCTGCAGCTCTGGGAGGAGTGAGAGGAGCATGAAGCTGAGAATTAGCCAAAGCATGTGGGTGAAGCAGAGAGACAATGACAGAGAGAGGAGAGAGACAATGATGGCTAACTAAGGTATGGCAGGGGAGGAAAGAAGAAGATACCTGTAGGCAGCACTAGGTGAGGAGAACTTTTCACTTTCTTCACAGGGATTATTTTAACGGCAGAAATAGAACGTGTACATAAAGGGACGTCAACAGCTGCAAACACAAAAGTGTAAATGGCACATCCAAAAAGGAAAGAACAGAGTTTGGGAAGCATGCCACAAAATTCTCTAACACACTTGGAGACACAATTGCTGGAAATTTCAAATACAAAAGCAGTCTAGAGAGCAATGATGCAACTGTTAAAAATATCCCTTCATTTGCCCTAATTCAGGATGTGTCTGTTTTATGCAGCATATAGAACTGCTTACTGAATGGACTAATGCTGACTGCCACTATGCTGCAGGCAAAAAGAATCTGGAAGCATTAGTTTTTAGAAGCCATCAAAAATTTTTAGTGTAATCACTTAACTGAGGTACACTACATGCAAAAATAAAAATGTTAAGTAAAACATTAATATGGTTCAGTAAAAACAAAGTGGAAAAAACAACCTAATACTGAAAGGTTGAGAGAAGAATGTTAAACTAGCCACATTACATGAATTCTGAATTTCATGGCTCGTTTTTTACAAGTTCAACAACAGAAGGAAGTGAAATAATCTTGAAAAAGGTCCCATGCTAAAGGGTAGCATTCATATAGACATGTCAGAAAAAAAATCCATGCATATAAACAGTAAATTGATGAGATTTCTACCTGACTTCAGCAGGTAGCACACTAATTATACTATATGTGGTAACATTGGGGAAAACCATATGTAGCACTATGCAAAATTCTAGCAATTGTTACAAAGCTGTTCAAATCAACGGGTACAAAGAGGGGTCCTTGTGAAAAAGGCAGAACTATTCAGAGGTGAAGTTCAACAGGAGCTGCCAAAATAAAGATCTTGTATATCATGACTCTACCAGAATAATTTAGGTAGTGTTCTCGATTTCTGCAGAGCCAGAATTTTCTTCCATAAAACCTATTTCCTGTCTGTATTAGCTGGAAAATGATAGATGTCACATTCCACGCCATCTCTCTCATGCCTGCAAAATCAGGAGTAAGAGGACCCACATTTCTAACATTTCACAGACTAACCCTGAGCACTGGGCCAGCTTGAGGGAGACATTGACAGCAGGGTGGTGTGTACACCCCCTCTTGTGGCAGATCTTTCTGATACCCGGCAACACCGGAAAGCACAGATTTCACAACCTAGAAAAGGAGTTCCAAGCAACAAAAGCCTGGCCAAAGAGCCTGACAGACTTTTTTCAAAACTCATAAAATCATTAGTTTTTAATTTGATAGGATTGTTAAAATTTTTTTTTATAAAATAGGAACCCAAATCAAACCATGTTTTCCGTACTTCTTCCTGAGTAGAGACCCTGTGAATATAACAGATCCCAAATCAAACAGCCTGTGGCTTAGGAAACAATCCTGATTCTGTTCTGCTTTGAAACAGACTGAATTCATCCATCCACAATGCAGTCAAAATACTAACCACTAGAAAAAGGCATCAAAGGAAAAGAAAGGAAATTAAACCAATAGAAAATCAACCCATACCCACATACTTCCTGCCAAAACAGACACAGTCACTCTACAAAACTGAATGCTATAAAGCACACTGCAAACGTGCTGATTTTAACATGAAGACTGGTTTGTTTCGATTTTTTTTCATCACATAAATGGTTGGCTCCTGCTTTTAATCCCAGACTCAAACCTTCACCTGTCCCTGAAGTGAACACAGTTCACACACAGGCACCACAAGCCCATGCTGTCTCAGCTCACTGAGCCACCGATTCGCAGGTGCTCACAAGTAGTGTACAGCTCTCCTCAAAACAGCACTACAAACACACAAAGAGGCAAGTCCAGCCTGCCACTTTAAAGAGACAAAGAACACTTGTTGAGCTAAGAAATGCTGCTACTAGCACGGTGCAGTACAAGGCTTTTCTTGTGTCAGTCGCCAAGTGAACTCAATTTGGAAGCCCCCACTATAGTGAATTTCTGGGAAAATCAAGCACATCACCAGCTAACATGCAGGAGGAGCTGTGGAGGTGTCTCTGGAGATTTTAACCCACCTTTTTCTTGTCCATTGCTGCTCAGCCCATTGACAACAGTTTTTGCAACATCAATTTCTTCATGTTCTAAAAGAGAAATGAAGAAGTGGTTTTCAATAAAGATTTTTGCAAGTCCACAAGGTCTTCAGCTGACACGAATAAAACTGGCTCTTGTAAATTCAGGGAAACATAGGAGACAGTGTAAGAAGGAAGCTCCAAAGGTCACCTAAAGCCCTATTTCTGAACCATGAATGAAACAAATTTACCTCTGTCACCCCTGACAAATGTTTGCCTAACGAGTTCTTACAAACTTCCAGCACCACCCTAATACAACCTGTTCCTTGTAAGGTTATCAGTGCTTACACTGAATTCCCAGGTCATGTTTTTCTGGACTCTCTTCAAATAGTTCACATTTTTTTCAAAATGTTGTGCCAAAACCAGGACATGATACCCCAGCTGAGACATGCTAAGATGCTAAAATTAAGTGGGAATATCATTCTACAGATCTTACACATGGCACTTCAAGTCTGGCATCTGCTTTATTTTTCACTCTGATTTAGCCTGTTACCCAGACAAGCCCAGAAGTTTTCCTCTTCCCAACCAGCTCCCATTTCCTGCTCCCTTGTTTTTCTTTGAACAGCTGATTTTTTCTATCCAAATGTCAAACTACGTTTTCATCTCTACTAAAATACATCAAATTCATATAATTTTTTCAGGTTATCAGCAATTTTGAATTCTTATATTCCACACTGAAATAAGCTAAAAGGGCCTACATTCAGTTCAAGATGCTTCTAGCTACTTTTTGGGCCAAAATTCAAGCAATAAATGTGAATAATTGCATCAGAAACAGACAGGAATATTACTAGTAATAAAAAGGCAAGCCAATGAGTGCAAGTAGAAAATAACACAGAGACTTACCAGAGCTCATTGTGGCAGAGGGACTTGCCTTTTTCACTTCTGGATTTTGTTTATGTCTGTTTAAAGTGAAAGGCAGAATGATTACATTATGTTTCATGTCTGCCCAGACAGCACTGGACACAATGCTGAACATTCAACACAAGAGTCAAGGTAACAGTCATAGTTTCTTAATGCCAAGTGGACTCATGTTAAGCACCAGACACATTTTTTGCTGATAATGATCAGAAATTAAATATTATTTCTACCCAATACAACCACTGCTTCCAGACTTTAAGTCTAATCTTCATATGAAAGTGAAAGATAGTAATTTAAATCTAAGAGTCTATAAAGGGCAAAGTGCAAGTCTAACTGGTTTCTAATATATAAAATGTGAATCACCTTTTAAAAGAATTTTTAAAAAAATCAAAGCGACACTAAAAGCTTTAAACTAAAATCTTCAAATTAGAGCATTCCCATATTTCAAGGCAATCTGCTGCTCCTATCAAAGCTAGTCTATCCTTTGAAAGATGTAATAATGGAGAAGAGATGCACTTGTTAAAATGCATATTATAACTTCCACAGCAATCATTTCCAGCTGTGCAATGCTGCTGATATTTTCAGGATCAGACTCCTGTAAGTGAAACATGAAAGCTGGAAGCTTATTCTCCTGGTACCAAAGGCAGTGAAATGGCCAAGCCCAGAGAAAAAATACCAGATGGGATCAGAAGAAAGAGTCAGGACAATTGTGAGGCCTATCTGTCCTCACTCCTGTGGGGACTTGATACTTGCAGCAAAGAGGTTTCAATGTCACAGATGTTGGTTTGAATAACCAAAGAGCATTTTTACAATAAAAAAAGGTGTGTGTTTGACAAGATCTCTCAACTCTCTAAAGGTCCTAGGTTGAATTTAAAGTCCTTTAATTTTGTGTTCCAATCTCCACCTCTTCCCCCTACCAAAAAGTTAGCCCCAAAGAAAGTGGGATCAAGTGTAGCTCCAGACCAATTAATGGCTTTCATGACACAAACAGAAATATCCATCTGAAATCACAAAATCATGCAAAACCAAGAACCCCAATCTGAGAAGTATAGGAAAAATTGCTTGGGGAAACAAGGAACTAAACAACACAGTTGGAAATACTTTTTCTTTTACATGAACTGGAGGCAGCAGTGGGACATTGAAAGAGGTGAAAATTCCCTTCAGGGAATTGAATTTGTTCTCCTGCCACAAGCATCCCCTTTCTTAATCAGCATTTGCTTCATGCCAGTCAGAATATAATGAGCATGTTCAACAGACACTCAAAAGGAAAGAAAACCCAACAAGCAAGTATAGTAACAGATGAGTCTATAAAATGAGACAATATCTGGGCTCCTCAGCAAGCCCCCCTAGGAACAGCTGCCAACACTTAATTGTTTAAACATTTCCTTCACTAAAATACTCACATAAGATATACATTGTGGGTTCATGAAGGCTCAGCAGGATTCAGCCTAGCACCAAGCTGATCTTGGTAAAATCCAATATAATGTGGGGGGTGTAGTATAAAACCAGTCAACAACAAAAAATGAGTCCAACTTGATAGGCTGGCTGTCTGATTTTGCCTGCCCATACAGTATCTGCTTTTTGTTTCTACCATTTAATATTAGAAGTGAGTCCCTGAAATAGTAATAGTTGACACAGCCTGAAAATGTAGATGAACATACTTAGTAATAATGGTCCTTCTGATCTCCATACATTTCCATTCCAGAAAAATGCCTTAGTTCAAGCAAATCAAAGAGAAACAGTCTAAAATTACATTATCCAGCTTAAGGAGATTTGTAGCAGTATCATGCTCTTCTAGACATAGAAAAATGTTATATATTAAACTCACTGGGATAAATACCAGTTCTTCCACAGGGCCAGGAGAAAACCACAAGAAGGGGCAATACTGCAGTAAATCTCAACTCAGCTTTAGGATCAACCCCTCTCTGAAGCTGAGGAGGTTGCTGATACCCAGATGTTTTAACTCAGCACTGGCTCTCCCCACGGGCTTCATGCAAGTCAACACAAAATTTCTTCCACTCAGCCATTCCCAAGAGGTTGCAGTGCTTTCCTCTGGTATACAAGATTAAAAAGGAGTGGGAAGAAAAAAAATCAGTATATTACGTTTTCAGGAGAGGAAAGAGGATTTACTGGCTATAATGTCTGGGCAAAGGCAGGGTCCACTGCTGCTGCCATGCCAGAGCAACACTTCCCCTCCACATTGGCAGTATCTGATGTGACCACATGCTTCACCCTTTCAAAAAGTCTCATTTGTTTATAAACAGTGACATCACAACTGCCATGAAACTGATTTCAGTGATGTCTTTTTGATTCAAGTCTTAAAATTGCTTACAGTGTGAAGCACTGACCTTCACTGCATTAAGAAAACCATTTAGGAAAGAATTCACAAAAGAATTCACCAAAAAGAAGCATAATTATTTAGCATTAATAGATTAAATTACTTTTTACAAACAAGTGATTTGAGGGTAAAAATAAAGTGGCAGTTAAAGAAGATTGCTAAAATTAAATGGAAGATGTATACAAACTCATTAAATCTAGATTGGATCTGGAAAAATTACTTTTCCACATATCCCCACACTTACTAGCAATTATGGAATTCAATTAAAATAACAAGCATCCAGTGTTCACTTACTGTGAAACTAATCAGCTTCCTTCAAGCACTCAAGCATGTGCTTAGTGCAAGTTCCCATACACAGAATGGATTCAGTGTGCTCAGGGTGAGAGTAACCAATCCTGAGTCTCTGCATTGGTCTAACTCCAGAAACTCCATTAACTCCATTTAAAAGTTGATTTTGATCAACTGAGAATCTGCACACAGATCTGCTCCATGCCAGCAGAAATAACTCCTGTTTAGATTGACAAAATTACGGTGCATGTTTGGAGTTGAGAACATGCTTTGGCACCTTATTGCATCAGGGCTACAGAATTATTCTCTCTTCCATATCCTTGACCCAAACCACATACTGAGGTCCCATTAGGCCTGTCTCAGTCCCAAAGCTGCTCTTGGGATCAGATGGGCAGTACAGCCAGATAACACATCTGGCTCCACGGTGCCAGTGCAGCCAAGTATTGGCCTGTAACAGCTGGGGAGGCACATGCTGTAAGCCAGTGTGCTATGCACGTTTGGATGGTATATCCTTAGGCAGATTAGTCCCTGCCAGGCTGGGCAGGCAGGCTGTCCCTGGAAACAGGTGGGAAATAATTTGCTGCTCCCAGTTCCCCTCAAGAACTTTCTGTAGACGTGGCCAAGCCATTCCTGTAGACACATGCAGTACTTTAGAAGGGAGCACTTCAAAGAGAACCAAGAATGAGGACCCTCATGTCAATGTTAAAATCTGAGAACTCCCTACTGCCAGATCAGGCAAACAAAAAAAGAAAAATACTTGAAAAAGTACTCCAAAGCAAAACACCCAAGTGTTTCCTTCGAGCTCCCTGCTCCAGCCAGCTAACCAGTGTGTCCTCGCCAGACTGGAGTTAGTGCCTTTCCTGAAATGTGACAGACATAGCAACAAAGGCTTCAAAGCTGCACACATGCAAAACACAATGAAAAGTAATGAATTCCTCAGGGCATAAGCCAGCAGTTGTAACCCTGAACATGCCAATGTCCATACGTAACATCCACCAACTCCTTGTCAGTTCGGTCCTACCTCTAGACAGATGTTTAACTTTTCCTTCCTCCCTTTCCCCCCCAGCACATTTCTCCAAGGCTGCAGTCCCTTCCCTACTTGGTGTGGAAAAGAGAGCAGTGCGTTCAGAAGCCTATTTAGGAGGAATGCAGATAAGTGGCAACCACTTCTGTACAGCCTGTCTGGATTATCTCACATGCTCTAAAGGTTTGAATACTCCCCCTACAAAGGCAGGGCTAACAAACAGCTCATTAATAGTTCTAAGCAAGGACACATGCTCTTAAGTCACTGGTATCTCAGCTAAGAGTTGCAGGCAGTGGTTATTTTTGATGTTCTAATGTGAGTGTGGGGAAAAATAACTTCCTTTCTTCCCTTGTTAGTACTGAGTGCTCCAGTGGCTCACATAGGATTTTAAAACAATTGCTAGACATGAGATAAACATTCAAAACTTATTGTGCTTATATATTTCTGAGATGTAGACTATTTAATTTTTCTCATTTTCAAGTTTTTTACATTTTCTAAGTTTTCTCGCTAAATACAAGAGCTTTAAGTCTTTTGTGACTGCATTTAAATGAAAAACTGTAAGCTTTCAGACTGAAAGAATGATTAGCAATCACAAAACTTACTTTTCACCTGTTCAGGTCTTACACATCACTTACAGCACTCATTTGCTTCACCCCAGCTCAGACACTTTTCCACAATGCCATCAGTGTCCCTGACCCAAATGCTCCTCTTCAACGAGCCATGTCAGCAATATGGAGTCCCAAATCTGGAAAGTGGGCAAAGAACTGCACTGCAGTGCCTCCCACCAGCAGGTTCCTCTGCTTAAAGGAATTTGCTGGAAAACACATCTCCTGTGCACTTCTCACCTTGCATGACATAAAACGTGACAAGAAAAAAAATAACTTTGAACAGAGCAGGCAGCTCAGGTTAACCTAGGCAATCAGCTCTCTCTTCAACTATCATTATTCTTTTATTCTGGAATACTGAAATATATTGTCTGTCATTTTTATTTTAAGGGTTAGAGAACATCATGTCATTCCTTCAGAAGACATTAAGCTCCTAAGAGCAAAAGTCATGAAAATACTATGAGTAAGCACACAGTGCACAGAGAATAATCACACCAATTCTGTACAAGACAACAGCTTCTACACATTCTTCAGCAAGTGTTAAGACAGCAGAGAGAGAGGACTGAAAGCTCACTAAATGAAACAAATGGTATGATTACACACCAGCTTGGATAAGGTGTTCTTATAAATAATGGAACTTACAGCTGTTACAATAAACAAACACAGCACATTTCAAATGCAGTACTGCTTCCTTTTTTTCTTTAAATATAGTGTCTGTCTGTTGCCTTCCAAATGAGCAAAATTAAGTTATCTGGGACAGAGGTGCCAGTTTTTGTGCAATATATG